CCAAACGACCTGTAACCTGACCCAAAATCAAATGGGTTGTGTCAATATTTGACCCGAAATCAACCAACCCAGCATACCCGACCCATAACTAGAGGCTCAACCCAAAATTATCCAACCCGACCTGATTGCTAGGTCTACCTCTAAGTGATGAAATTGATCCTTTCATGAGTATAGATAAAGATATATTATTTTCTACTAAAATTTACATGTGCCACGTGGCAGATCCAAAACCTTCTTGCTTCCCCACTAAGTGGGGCCGACAGATCACTAAGTGAGTATTTATTCATGGTTCGTGAGTGCATCCTTTCGGAGAGAGTCGAAAAGGAAGAATTAAATTATTCGACTTCTCGGTTAACAATAAAAGCGAAGCCATTATTCTCATCATACACAAACACACTTAGTACTTTCATTGTGTAGGAAAAAGGTAAAATTCATTATAAATCTTTTTGAACAAATTGAGTTATTATTGAGACTTTTGGCCATGGATATGATCTCAGAATTTGTGATAACCAAAAAGACTTGTGTTCGGATACCCGCTCCCCTCAACCTCATGGGTTGGCTGAATCGGACCTCTCAAGCTTCGTTTCCAGATCTCTCTTCTTGTGTCTTTCTGGATATCCATGTCTTATTTTGCTTGCGGGCTCGAGGACTGCTGTGCATACTGGGCTGTGTCTGCTCGTATCCTTGTTTTGTAGGCTCATCTATCTAAACCATGGATACAGTCAGTCATCGGATGCATGTATAATGCAAGCTTCATGGATAACGCCCTGAGCCGTTTGGCGGGCACGTCTGTGGCTTTCCGTTGGGCTAAAATATGGGACATTGTAGGCCCGTGGGCTATGCTCAAAACAGTAAATTATTGGTGAACCGAGCACGACCTGCTAAACTGGTGAACTATAATGTCTATCTTTGGCCCGGGGTTTAGCTTCTCGACTTCAAAAGTTGAAACAGAGCCAAACACCTTTAAAAACTCGATTTTTGAAAAAATTGAAAAGCACTTTTATATAAGATAAAGGGGTCGTTTGGAGAATGAGATTTAGGGAGTGGATTTATTGAATCCGTAGATTTTGTAGAAAGTTATATTTTTTGTCACTTTTTGTATTGTAGATTTTAGTTTTAGAGATTGCAAATCTCTAAAATCTACGGATATCAAATCTCTCATAATCATAGAGATTCTATATCTTGATTCGTGAGATTTATTTTCTTATACTTTTTCTCTTTCTTTTATTTATTTATCATATTAAATATATTTCTCGAACCACTCTAATTTTTTGTTAAGGATAAACATATTATTTAATATAAAATTAATTTTTTATTTTCATTGAATGTTAACCATCACCGTCACTAAACAATAAACATTTTAAAATCTCCATTTCTTTTCATCCTGGTGATGGAGGTTCTCTCTGGTATTATGAGGATGTTGAGGTCTCGGGGTTTAGTTGAGGGATTTTATATGAATGAAGGATTGGGAACAGGGGAGTTCACTCATATTCTTTATGCGGATGATACTTTACTATTTTGTGATGCTTCCGAAGAACAAGTTCGTGCTCTTCTCACAACTTTAGCTCTCTTTGAAACAATTTCGGGTCTTCGTGTGAACTTACACAAGAGTTCCATGATGGTTGTTGGGGAGGTAGAGAACCCAACACACTATATTGACATTTTTGGATGCGAGTTAGGTTCTCTTCCCACTACTTACTTAGGGCTTCCTTTGGGTACCAGAGCGGCTTCTTTGGCTGTATGGGAACCAGTTATCGAGAAGGTGCAAGCTCGGTTAGCTTCTTGGAAGGCTGAGATGCTATCTTTTGGTGGGAGGCTTCTAAAAAGTGTTCTCTCTAATCTTCCTATCTACTTTCTTTCCCTCATTATGGCCCCAACCTCGGTGATATATAACTAGAGAAGATTTATAATGACTTCCTATGGTCAGTGGTATAGGGGACCAAACGGTTACATTTGGTGAAATGGGATATTGTGAAGACGTCGATTACTAGAGGGGGTTTGGGAGTATTGGATCTCAGGTGTATGGACCAAGCGTTAATGGGAAAATGGGCTTGGAGATTTGGGGCTGAGCGACATGCTTGGTGGAGGAAGTTCATTGTGGCAAAGTGTGGCCAAGGTAGGACCGAATGGAGACCATCGTGGAATTTGGGAGCATATGGATACTCTTTGTGGCGCACAATTGTTAACGAAAGCTCTTACTTTTGGAAGGTTGCCTATGTCAATCCTAGGGGGGTTGGGGTATCTTTTTGGCATGATTCATGGGTTCCTGGGAAGATTCTGGTGAGAGATTTTCCAAGGGTTGGTTTTGTTGCCCAATCCTTTGATACATATGTTTCTGACATGTTTTCTATGGTTGATAGGTCTTGGGAGATTCCTCTTTCGATATCACTCAGGTGCGGTGCTGAAAATGAACGTGTTTGTTTGATGAAAACTCTAAACTCTCTTCTCTCACTTTGGATCACCACAGGACCTGCACGCTTGGTTTGGCCTTTAGAGGCATCTGCGGTATTATCGGAACATTCTTTAGTTACAAACCTTATTGAGAGTAATTTTAGTTACAAAACTTTTGATCTACAAGGACCTTGCCCTCCTATCACGTGTCAGTTTCTCATGGCTTGGTGAGGGTTGGGGTGTGATTCACGATTTAGAGACTGCATCAAATTATTACCTCATGAAGTGTTTTGGTACATAAGGCTGGAGAGAAACGATAGGATGTTTAGACTTTAGAGATGTTGAGACCTTACAACAAGTGATCTGCAACAAGATTATATTCATATGGTTGTATACAAAGGCAAGTCATTGGATGACAGATTGGATATCTGGAAGGCTTCAAACAAAAGGCTCGAAGTTGCTACAAAGGCTGTTTTTCTGGCAGCTTGCTTGTGCTACAAGGCAGTTTACTTCGTAGCAACGTCAAGCCTTTTGTTTGAAGCCTTCAAGATATCCAATCTTTCATCCAGTGTCTTTCCTTTGTAGAAAAACATACCTACTTTCATGTGGTAGAGGCCCCTGGACTCGACTCTCATCCATGCTTTTCGAATTGAGCTCCAAAGTAGGCTTCACAAACATGTTCCCAGACTTGGCCATTTTCAGGCAGTTTCCCAGTTTTGGCATAGCCTTTTGATCAGGTTCAAAAATGGTATTCTGGACTTCCTATTGAGCTCTCAACTAATTCAATGTGTAGAGGGACACTCCAGCTTCAAAACAAGCCATTAATCTCCAATTTCCATCGAGCCAATTGTAAGATATGAATCTCCGAAGTAGGCACCATGAAACTATTTTTACACAAACAAAAGATTAGGTCGACCTAATCCTAACCGAGGTCGACCGAAAAGTGCAAGTTACGGTGACTTGCAAGGCACCATAGGTGCACCCTATATTTTGCCATAGGCAAATAACTCTGTTGAAACTCTAATGAACAAAAAGACAAGAAAAAAAACAAGAAGAGAAAAGTCGAACTTCTTATAGTAGGGCTCCGCCATCGAGTGAGAAGCTTCATTGGACAACACATGATGAATCTGATGCATAATATTGATATCTCATAATATTTCCGCTGGTACGGCTTCGCCAACGAGTTGAAAATGTTCTGAAGATTGATCTCTCATAATATTTCTCACTTCTTTTGAATACAAAAATAGTTTTTTTTGCATTGCATTGCAAGGAGGCGCTTAAGGCCAAGGAAAATAAGTGATTACAGGGGGATTAGAGGGAGGAGGAGGAGTTCGCCACAATTTGGCACTCGAAGGTAATACCCATGGAATCATCCTGAAGTAGCAGACCGATGTCGGACGGGGGATCCACCAGCTCATGCATATCGTAAGGATAGACGAGACTGTGCTTCGAGAGCCAGCCCGCGGTTCTATTCCCTTCTCGGTATGTATATGACAGGTTGACCAGCCAATCCTGACTCATCTTCCTACGAATAAGACCTAACAACGTAGTGTAACCTACCTATCAATAAATAGTTAGGGAGATCTGATGCACAACCTACCTATCAATAACCATTTGCTGAAGACAACTAACATTTTTCTAAATTTATTGTAACGGACTATGTCTATTTCATTTTAACTCATAATTTTTTTCACAAATAAATCAGACTAATTGTGCTTTTCAAAATGACATCCACTTTGATATATTTTGAAACAAAAAAATTGAGGCACTTATTACTAGTCCATATAATTATGTTAATGTTTGGTAATATATAATATTTATTTATTTTATACAAGGAACACCCTCCACAGTCACCATCATCGTTGATGTCGTAGTCGGGCCAAACCCCGGGGACGCCGCCCATCGACCCAAATGAGAGCGGAGTGCTACTCAAGGATTTTATGCACCAACTGGTTGATGGTGTGGATCGAACACACGACCTTGCTTGTGCCGAACCAACATCCCACCAGATGGGTGATATGAAAGTGTACCATGGTGATATGAACATATCATACGTGATAGTAAGAATATACAATAGTCATTTACCACATTTCATCACCATCTACCACTAGTTACCACTAGGAATGTCAATCAAACCCAAAATGATGGTTATCCTACCTGACCGTAACCAGTCAACGAGGATAATTACCTACTTTGATTCGTTATGGGTCAGGTACGGGTAAACCCGATTTCAAAATAGCGGTTCGACTACGGATATGGTAATTGTCTATACCCGTCCGTAACTATTTTGTCTATAGAGGAATGGGAGCATCTTTATTCTTTACCATCTAGGCAGCATGAATTGGCAAATTTTTTGCAGGAAAGGCATCCATGGTGGGCTCTCAGGCGGCACTACTTGCCTTTAATTGTATGTCAACGTTGGCTCAATAAAACCTATAATTGGTTACCGGCTAATTTAAATCCTTGGTTAGCTACATTGTCATATTGCTTAAAACCCTCACCTAAGCAACAAATGAAAAATTATCATTAAATTGAAGATGCTACGATGAATTCACTGATGTGCATATTTGGGATATTAAGAAGATGATTAATGAGTGATTATCTCCCTATACTAATATTTGGATTCATTTTGGAGAAATAAGCAAGTTAGTCTCTAAAAAAATTACAGAGTGATTATCTTCACGGATGCCTAAGGTCATTCTACCCATAGTGGTAGTCTTACAAACACGTGGAGCTAGGTGCCTCAATCGATGTCTTGTGTTTAACACTAATTCTTCATATTCCCCCTAACCATCAAATTCTGGATCTTAGTGAGATTGAGCAACTTCATTGATTCTGCCCCGACTGTTAATTTTAGTCTATGATGGCGACATTGTCATGATCTCTAAGATCTTCCCATTCCACATTCTCTAGTACGTCTATTTAATTACTGTGGAGAATTTGGAAGTTCATAAATAAAGTTATTTTTGAATTCTACCAACCTCATGTCCGTTCCCTAGTCAGATAATTCTACAACCAGGTCCTTGAAGTCTCCAATTCCCCACCCCCCTCATCCACCCCCAAGATCGCCAAAGCCTCCTCCTACCGCTTGGGAGCCTCCACCAGACGACTATTTGAAGATCTATTTTGATACAACTATTTGTGACTCAGGGTGCTCGTCTGGCCTTGTTATCCATGGCTCAGACGGGCATGTGGTGCTGGCAGTCGGATTGCGTCACCAGGGAGTAGTCAACTCTTACCTGGCAGAGCTCCTAGCAGTAAGAGATGTTATCACCTTCGCCATCTCAAGATCCTTGACTCACGTGATAGTGTAAGGTGATTCCGAGGTAGTCGTCAACCAGATCCGACAAGGTGTTCTAGAAGATTCCATTGGAGGTCCGGTGCTCCGGAATTGTCATCAGATCCAAGACTATTTGTCAGTTTGTATTTAGTTTTTTAGGGCGGTTCCTAGAGCCGTCAACAGTGTTGCCCATAGTGTGGCGCTTAAGCACTACTTTTGTCTCTTCGAGTCTTTCGACTTTTTTGGGTGGCTTCACTAGGGTGTCGTATGTAAGGGGTTCCTGGGTAGTTTTGATTGTAAACATAAATCATAATAGCATGGATCTCAGAATTAGATGATTTCACGAATCGATAATAGATCGGTGAAACCTACCTCGATCCATGACGAGAGCGGCGGCGGCACTGGAGTAGTAATCACCGAAATTGAGTTTCTCCCTCTTGACCCCTTTAGGTTTTAGGTTTAGAGATTTCTGTGATGGCTAAGAAATTCTACATAATGGGTTGAGAGATGACCAATCCTAGAGCTTCTTTATATAGACCCACCATCAGGGTATATTAGGAATTTACCTTTCATTAACCTAATCAATATAGGATTTATCTTATATATTAAACCATTAAGTGATAATTACACTTGGGCCACAATTATTCCCTAGTGACACACGGGAATTGGGCTTACATTCTCCCACTTGGTCCATGTGTCATTATATATCACAAGATCTAATAATAAACATAAGTGTGCACATCATAAGATAAATCCATAATATTTGGTTCACCATAAAGTCATAATCAAGTATGAAAGCTAGATTAGGATCATGGCGGTTCTATATCAATTTATCGACATAGTCCCTTCCATGTACCACAAAACCAGTATCATGCTCAATACGACACATAACAAGGTAGTCATAATGGTCCAACAATAATGTCTTCACTAAAGACAAAAATCTTGTTATGCTCACATAATGCATAATGTATATATACTGGTCATAATAAATAAAACAAGATTCATAACTTTATTCCAGAAACAAAATAAATGAGCTCAAAGTGTCAATCCATGAAACATAAAATAACTTTAGTCATGACGTCCTATAATCCCCATCCTTTCGACATGTTCAGTAAATGTCTTAGGAGGCAATCCTTTTGTTAATGGATCAGCAATCATAAGCTGTGTGCTAATATGCTCGATCGACACCCTTTGTTTCTGAACTTCTTCCTTAACGACAAAGTATTTCACCTCCATATGCTTAGCACCCTTCGAATACTTGTCATTCTTAGAGAAGAATACCGCTACGGAATTATCACAGTAAATTTTCAGCGGCTTGGCGATAGTGTCAACAATTCCAAGTCCATAAATAAAATTCCGCAGCCATAAACCATGATTCGTAGCTTCATAACAATGGATGTGGCAATAACAGACTGCTTCGCACTCTTCCATGAAATTGCCCCTCCGGCTAGAAGGAACAAATAGCCAAAAGTAGACTTCTTGGTGTCTACACATCCAGCATAATCTGAATCTGAATATCCAATCACCTCAAGGTGATCAGATCTCCTAAAGGTGAGCATGTGGTCTTTTGTTCCTTGCAGATACCTTAGTACCTTCTTTGCAGCTTTCCAATGATCTACTCCTGGATTACTTTGATACATGCCCAGCATTCCGACAGCAAAACTGATGTCTGGTCTGGTACAAGTTTGTGCATAATTCAAACTTCCAACAATAGATTCATAAGGAATGTGTTCCATTTGCTTGCGTTCCAATTCATTATTTGGACATTGTTTGAGACTAAATTTATCTCCCTTCTGAATTGGAACGACATTTGCAGAGCATTCAGCCATGTTGTATCTCTCTAGGATCCGGTTAATGTATGATTTCTGAGACAATCCCAACAGTCCTTGTGATCTATCACGAAATATTTATATTCCAATCACATAGGATGCCTCAACCAAATCCTTCATTTCAAAGTTCTTAGAGAGAAACTCCTTGGTTTGATGTAATAAACCAAGATCATTAGTAGCAAGCAAGATATCGTCAACATACAGAACTAAAATTATAAACTTACTCCCACTAATCTTGAGATATATACATCGATCGACGATGTTCTCCTTAAATCCAAAAGATGTAATGATATCATTGAACTTAATATACCATTGTCGGGAAGCTTGTTTAAGTCCGTATATTGACTTCTTTAATTTACACACCATATGTTCTTTTCCCTCAACCACAAAACCTTCAGGTTGATCCATATAGACTGCTTCATCTAAATTCCCATTCAGAAAGGTGGTTTTCACATCCATCTGATGGAGTTGTAGATTATAATGAGCTACCTTTGCCATGACAATCCTTAAGGAGTCTTTCTTAGAGACGGGTGAAAATGTCTCTTTATAGTCAACACCACTTTTCTGAGTAAAACCTTTCGCAACAAGTCTGGCCCTGTGTCTTTCGATATTGCCATTAGAGTCGCGTTTGGTCTTCCAGACCCATCTATTACCAACTCTTTTACAACCTTCAGGCAAATCAACAAGGTCCCAAAATTCATTTTTATACATAGATTTCATCTCTTCTTTCGCGGCAGCTAACCATTTATCAGAATGCTCACTTTCCATGGCTTGTGAAAATGAAACTGGATCATGATAGAGTCCTAAATCAGATTCTAACTCGTGAAGATAAACCTCATAATCATCAGAAATTGCAGGCCTTCGATTTCTTGTAGACCTTCTTAATGCGATTTCTTGTGGTTCATCTATGTTAGGTTCATTCTCAATAGCAATATTAGGTGGTGCTTGACCGTTCATTTGTTGTTCCTGCAAATCGTTATCATGCTCAACATGTGCAGGAGCAACAACTTGAGAAGAGGGTAGAGGTAAAGATATTTGCACTCTAACTTCTTGAATTTCCACATTGCGTGGCTCTAAGCTCCCACTAACTTCACCATTCTCAATGAACCTAGCATTTCCAGTTTCAACAATTCTCGTACTATGGTTAGGGCAATAAAATCGATACCCCTTAGATTTTTCTGGATAACCAATGAAGAAACCACTGATTGTTCGTGAGTCCAGTTTATTTTCATGTGGATTATATATTCTCACTTCCGCTAGGCAACCCCAAACATGCAGGTGCCTTAAACTGGGTTTCCTTCCCGTCCACAGTTCAAAAGGTGTCTTAGGAACTGCTTTACTAGGAACCCTGTTTAACAAATACACAGTGGTCCTTAAAGCGTGCATCCACAATGATTTGGGTAAAGATAAGTTGCTTAACATACTCCTAACCATATCCATTAAAGTACGATTCCGCCTTTCTCCAACACCATTTTGTCGCGGTGTTCCTGGCATAGTGTATTGAGCACAAATACCATGTCTTTCTAGGAACTTAGCAAATGGACCAGGGCACTGTCCACTTTCATCATATTTTCCATAATATTCTCCATCTCTATCAGATCTGACAATTTTCACCTTTCTTTCTAATTGCCTCTCAACTTCATTGATAAACACCTCAAGGGTATCTACCGACTGAGATTTTTCATGCAGCAAATAGATATATCCATAACGTGAAAAATCATCGATAAAGGTAATGAAATACTTTTCTCCACCAAGTGATGGAACATCAAAAGGCCCACAAATATCAGTGTGTATAATTTCAAGGAGCTGTGAGCTTCTTGTGGCTGCTTTCTTAACTGTGTGTTTTGTGTGTTTTCCTTTAATACACTCAACACAAATTCCAAGGTCAGTAAATCCAAATGAGGAAGGATTTCATTCTTTACTAGTCTTTCCATTCTTTCTTTGGATATGTGACCCAAACTTTTATGCCACAAGTAAGCAGAGGATTCATCAAACAAACCACGTTTAATACCAACATTATGATGCAAGGTTAAGAGAGTCTCAGCGAATAGGGTATCAAGCTTTAGTTTGTACAAACCATCAACAAGGGTACCAGAACCCAATAAAACATTATGTTTGAACAAACTAATAGAACCATTTACAATGTTCCAAAAAATACCCAGCCTTATCTAGTTGAGACACCGAAACCAAATTACGAGAAATAGAAGGAGCATAAAGGGTATTGACAAGGTCCAAATGATGACCAGTATCTAAAACCAAATGATAAGTCCCAATAGTTTCAACTGGAACTTTGGCTCGGTTTCCCATATAGATGAACTTCTCATTTTGCCTTATGGTTTGGGTCGTAAGGAATCCCTGCATCTTTTTGGAAACATGAATTGTACAACCAGTGTCAACCCACCAAGTATTATAAGGAACCTCAGTTAAATTTGATTCGAAACATACTGAAGCACTAGGCTTACCCTTTCTTTCGAACCATGCCTTTCTTTTCAAGCAATCTTTCTGATAATGTCCGGCTTTCTTACAGAAGCGACATATATCCTTACTTGGTTCCTTCTTGTGGATTTTGGCAGATGACTCATTAAGCTTTGATAGTCCTTCCTTTCCCTTCCCATTCTTGTTCCATGGTTTCTTTCCAGCTCCTTTATGACCAACAAGATTGGCAGAATGATTTCCTGGTTTCTTAAGCCTTGCTTCCTCTTGAATGAGCATGCTTTGTAACTCATGCACATTCCATTTATCCTTTAGAGTATTGTAATGCACATGGAATGTGCCATACTCTAGAGGTAAGGAATTAAGGACGAACGTTATTAGGAAATTTTCATTCACTTCCATTCCCATGGTCTTTAGTCTTGCTGCAATGTTCGTCATTTCGACGATATGCTCATGCATGGTACGAGAACCATCAAACTTCATGGTGGTTAGCGTACCCATCAGTGTCCCAGCAAGCGACTTATCAGCAGACTCAGATTGAGAGCTTTCTTTCACGAAATTCATAAATTCCTTAACACTTTCAGTATCATTGAAAGTTGACTTAATGTTGTTTGCTACAGTCATTCGCATAAACATTAGGCTTAGTCTGTTAGATCTTTCCCAAGCTTTATGGAAAGACTTTTCCTCAACACTGCTAGCATCAGTAAGAGCAGCAGGTTTCTCACTTAAGAGTGCCAAATCAAGATCCAGAACACCGAGGTGAAACTGAACCTGTTCAGCCCATTCACAAAAGTTGAGGCCATTAAACTTAACAACAGACGTGGCTTGCGAATGAAGAGAAACAGGATCAGATGCTGCAAACATATATAACATGTACTCACACATTAATGCTTTGGGTAATAAGCATAAACTATAATACAGAATCGGAAGCATAAACATAAAACATATATTGGTGCTACCTTTGGGCAAAACAACAATATATATGCGATAAATAATCGTAATTGATGCTCAAAATAATCATATAATTGGTGATAGACATACTCAGATTAGATATACTTGCAATCTTTGGATATACTAAATATATCTAACCAAGCATATCAATATACCACGATAATGTTCATGAATTATAAAACGAGCAATCAACCTTTGGGCGATTCGAAAGTATTTTATAATCACAAACTTCAACTTTAAAGCATCACATAAACATTAGTAGTCGAACTTGATTCAACTTGATATCTATAAACCTTTTAATTTGGCCAATTTGGTGACTAACAAATTAATCATAACATAGATATCAAAATTAAGGATTGACTTAAAGGCAAAACAATTTTACTCAATCTCACATACGTAGAGAGCTTGTCTCTTTAATTGCTTAATATATTCATGATAATAGTTTAACATAAGTAAGTCTAATGCCAAAGCAATCACTCAACAGATTAAAAAGAAAACTTAGAATCACAACCTATAATGGTCAACAGATTAAAGCCCTTGTTTGTAAAGCAGAGGTCGTCAAATGCCATTGTTAACAAATAATATGGCAATCCCACTAACTTAGGCGACATATGCTTATAAAACAGACAACGAATTATACAGTCAAACAAACATCAATTATATTCGATAAGCATAATCGCAAATATAGAGATACACGATGATGCAGCGGAAAACAAATATGAAACAAACATAATCGAAAATCATCCATTCATATAAACCCTAAGGCTCTGATACCATATGTAAACATAAATCATAATAGCATGGATATTAGAATTAGATGATTTCACGAATCGATAATAGATCGGGGAAACCTAGCTCGATCCATGACGAGAGCGGCGGCGGCGCTGGAGTAGTAATCACCGGAATTGAGTTTATCCCTCTTGACCCCTTTAGGTTTTAGGTTTAGAGATTTCTGTGATGGCTAAGAAATTATACATAATGGGTTGAGAAAGGACCAATCCTAGAGCTTCTTTATATAGACCCACCATCAGGGTATATTAGGAATTTACCTTTCATTAACCTAATCAATATAGGATTTATCTTATATATTAAACCATTAAGTGATAATTACACTTGGGCCACAATTATTCCCTAGTGACATACGGAAATTGGGCTTACATTGATTGTATAACTCTTATCTCTCTTGATATCACTCGGAAATAAATAAATAAATAAATAAAAAGTCTATGGATTGTATATGGCTCCAAAAGGGTTCACAAATTGGTCAACATTTTGGATGATTATTGATAGAAGTGGTGATTTTGAGAAAGCTAAAGACTACTTGACCAGGCATTTGTACACTTGTCACAGTAATTTGACCATTTTGAATATAATTGCCAAAAAGAGTTAACTAATATATTGCATATAAGAAGCAGACATCCACTACCAGTAGGCACATTAATACAAGTTTTTCCACTGCTACGCACCTTGAATAAATCCAGGCGATAATGCCCATGCATATATACATACAAGTCAAAATGCCGAGATAAGTATAGTTTTTCAACCCACAAAAATAATAATTTTAGGATAAATACAGACTTTTGGCTTTCTTGATGGGGCCTGTTTTAGCTTTGGCAATAACAATGAGAGCGAGTGGTGGAGTACTATAGGGTCAAATGGGTAATTAATTTAATTAAAAATGCCCTGAAAGAAAATTCCGTTTCCGTTGTTAACGACAACCCACAATCTACAATCAGGTGATGACTAAAAATACGTTTGGCTTGATGGCCATTTGTCATGATAGAAACGGTTAAAACCGGCCGGCTCGTTGACTTGAAAATATTGAGTATTGCCGAATGAGTGTTGTAGCCAAACGGTTCATCGATCATCCGTGTTGACGAACTTAAAAGTTTTTACGTTCGATATTCAGGTGGTGTTGCCATCGTCGCAGGGCTCACTAGTGATCCCGGCCAGCCCGTTGACATAAAATTATAGATTATCAGAGAGCATTTCTACCATGTTATATAGCATTGGTGCTTTAATGTACAACTCAAAGTTGTACCATAACATTAAATGTACAACTTTAAATTGTACCATAACATTAAATGTATAAGTTTAGGTTGTACCATAAAGCAATTTGTACCATTATGTTATGGTACAACTTTACAACTTGAAGTTGTACCATCACATAAAGGTACAAGTTCAAGTTGTACCGTAAAAGAATTTGCACAAAAAGTATAGGTACAATCTGAAGTTGTACCATAACGTAAATGTACAATTTTAAGTTGTACCATAAAGACAAAAACCTATAGCACCAATACTGTATAGCATTGTAAAATTTCTCATCATTAGATCATAAAAATATAGGCTTTAAGTGTAAGAGGGGTGTTGAGGTCTTGGCGTCCTTGTCTAGCATCTAATTCGCCTAATTGCCGCCTAAACGTGCCTATGCGCTAAAAGCAAAAATAACAATTTATTTGTACTACATGATGAATGAAGAACAATAGATTTACAATACTTACTCACTTCAGTTTAAATTATACATAACTTATTTATCACTTAACAACAAGAAAATACCCCACAAGTTCATAGAATCATAGCTCCATAGCGGACTATGGTCTTGAGCTACTGAAAAGATTGAAATAGATGATTGAGCTTTGTAGATAGATGTTAATTTTCTCTGTTTGATATTGTTTGTCTAGCTAAATCTAATTATACCTAGGCGACGCTTAAGCGTCGTCATACTTCGTCAACGTGTTTTGATACCTGATTTGTTAAGAAACTCCTAAATGAATTTTTTTATACATCTTAGCGTCTAGACTCTAGACATATTTATGCGTAAGTTTAAACATACCTTTTTGAACATTAAAACACATTTTTTCCCAATCGAGCTGTGTCCGGTCACCAAGTAACAATATTTACATGACAACATCACTCATTGTGAAAAAAATATTTGATTATTGAACATATCGTCATTGTGAAAAAATCCTATTAACTTCGGAAACCGGAAATTGGTTTCCACAATCAATCTTCTTTCTTTCTGACTTTTCCCAGCTTGGAGTCTAACCTTTTTGTTCGTTTGTTAGTGCAATAGACAATCCAAGACGAGGAGGCGCCTCACGACATGCATTATATTGTTCTCGTTACCATAGGTCAAACCAGTGCGCGAACAACATTGGGGTGGGTGAATGAGTCGTCTAATGGAATGGTATATAATTTTTGTTTAATTATTTTCTCGCATTTAAGTTATTAATTAATGTTTGTAGACCGTAATATGGTATTAGAGCTATTATTTGCAGAAAAAAGTATTAGAGATATATGTATACAAATTCAGTTTGTATACCTATATTTTTTTACAAATTTCTTTGTAGTACAAATTAAACTTGTACATTTAACATTATGGTACAATTTCAGTTTATAATTATAGCTCTTTGTACAAATTTCTTTATGGTACAATCTGAATTTTATATATTTATAATATGGTACAAATTGAACGTGCACCATAATATAAATGTACAAATTCCTTTATAGTACAAACTGAACTTATACTTATAATGTTATGATACAAGTTCCAACTTGTACCTGTAAAAGCCAATATTTTTATAGTATAGTACAACTGCTCCTTTGACTAGAATTTTATTTAAGTTAAGTCCAACTTATGATGAATATTTTGTTTATGCAAGATAAAATTGTCGTGAACCACGCTGTTTCTTCGTATATGTTGATAAATATATAGGCTAATGGACACAAAATATACCATTTCTTTTGTTTAATAATATGTTTAAATATAGTTAAGGTTGGAATACATAAATAAACATTGATAATTATGGGATAAAAATAATACCCGATATCATCATTGGTAATTATTATTTATTAGTCATCAATTCATCTAACTGTGTCTGTAAATGTAAAAATTAGTCAATAACGTGATAAGCAACTCTAATTGAACAGGTCAACACTAAACCAATTTGACAACCATAGTATACTCTATAGTTTTCATTTCACATTATACGTTTTGTGTTGAAGCTGCTTTTTAGGGTTATAGGGATATTATGCCACTCTACTATACAATTTTATCAAACATGTCTCTCTATTATTTTTTACATCAAACATGCCCCTATACTTTGGAAAAATTATCAAACATGCTCTTATGTTAAAATTTTCATTAATTGAACCGAGATTCACACGACCCGACATCAGAAAAATTAGGGGTGAAATGTCAGTTTTTCTTATTTATTTCTCCAGGTCTAGTTAAAGTGAAATTATTAGAGCTATTTGGCTAGACAAAAGAAACAAAACAATTCTAAAGTGAAATTGTTAGAAATATTTTAGTCACATGTCTCCCAAATCAAGGTTCGACAATGATTGATGGGTTTTTTGTGCAAATTTTAAAAGAATGACATGTTTGATCATTTTTACAAAGTATAAGGGTATATGTTTGATGTAAAAAATAGTAGAGGGACTTTTTAATAACCAACGAAGCTAGAAAAACACTTTCTGCTGTCGACCACTTTGTGTGTATTACGTGGCTATCCTTCAAACATTGCTTGATTTGATATTTACTATCAATTAACTATAAGTTATAATGAAACTAAACTGTAGTAAATATCAATTAACTAAGTGGACTATAGTTTTATTCAACCAATGATGCAACATTATTATGAGATTAATATATTATATGCACGTCTCCTTCGTTTAATCGAGAGATAAGTCGTAAATGTAAATTTGAAGAGTTGTTTCTTGCCACATGGTTGTAGTAATGCGGTTGGGAACTTCTTAACAATCCAAATAAATTATGTTTTGCTAATGGCAACCCAACAAACAAGTAAATACTTACAATGATGTCTACGTTGTGACCGCCTGACCGGCCAAAGTAGACAAAGGTCAATTGAGAAAGACCTTGCACAATTTTAATCATTGAAATTATGCATAACAAGGGGAAAAGATATTGTAAACAACAATGACAACTGACCATTCCTTCATTAATTATGAGTGTAGCTGTGACCACTGACTATCTAATCTTTCCATAGGGAAAAGACCACTAACTCAATTCCAAACACAACATTCAACGTCATTAATAAAAAGAATAGTCAAAAATAAAATTGCACTAGGTGAACCTCTTGAATCTCGATGACTAGCTAAGAAGATGCGGGGAAGTCTTCACATGCAACATCGGGATTTGCTCGGAGAGCTTTCAACTCGAATGAGCACGAGAAAGATTGAAGATAGCGTGACGAAGAGGTTACATAAATGTTGAGTTGAACTTTGATTCTTCTACTACCATAGTTATCATGTTTGTGGTCTAGTAGCTGAGAAAATAATCAAAGTAGTAACGTGGAATATAATGCTATCAGGATGTTAGAATCACTCATATCTTTAGAGAAAGTAAAATGTGCATCTATTTTAGAGAAGTAGGGATCATTTGCTTTCTTTCGCCATACACATTCATTTTATGTGTAGGATCTGAATCTATACTATTGACTCGCTTAATTACGAGTATTACCATAGCAATTAATGCTCTCTGATTATTCGAACTCGATCCGCAAGTGTTTGCTCCCGTTCACGAGCCTAGCCGAGCGGAAGAACTTCCACGTGGAAACCGAAACCAACGGCGTGCCTTTCCACCCAATCACCATCGCCTTCCCATCCCTCTCCACCGTGCAAAACTCCCCATTCGGCGCCGTTTCATGCACCAGCCTCGCCTGCTGCCACGCCACCGGCCCCAGCCTCCGCTCCACCATCTCAAACCGCCGAAAGAAAGCCCGCCACACGTCCAGCTTCACGCCCCGTATCACGCGCTCCTCCCCCTCACGCGCCACAATGTTGCTGATCATCCTCCCCATCATCCCGCCCTCCATGAACGTCCGGCTCTCGTCGTCCGCGCCCATGCAAGCGTCCACGCTGTCGAAAACGGCGCCGTAGTGGAACAGCGTGTCCACGAAACGCGCCGAGAACTGCGGGGAGTTGTTGTTCGCCTCAGTCTCGGTCACGACCATGAGCTGCGGGTTCAACCCCCTCACGACCCGCATCAGGGTTTCCATCCGGTCGGGCTGACCGATCATCGCCACGAAAGCGTGCTCCGAGTACACCATCACCGCCTCCCTCCCTTGGTCCACCCCGAACATGTCCCCCCTCACATCCAAAACATCCCCCACCCTCACAATCTTGAAACAAAATTTCAACCCCTTCGACTTCGCGAAGCCGGTCAGCCACTCGCCCGTGGCCCGAACCGGTTCGACCGCTCCTGTACACAGAGCGGTCACTTTCAGAATCTCGACCCGCGGCCCGTCCGCGGGTCGAGATTCGAGTGCCTGCATGAAGGCGATCCAATGGAGCCCGGACTTGATCTTGAGATCGATCCCGTGGATCCTCCTGGCCGATGCGGCCGACTCCAGCATGACCTGCACGGCCGCCAGCTGTTGCATCTGATAGTAAGGAAACCGCTCCTGGACCGAGAGGACGATGGAAGGCGACGGCAGCCTCAGCACGTCGCCCAAATACGACTTCTCGTCGTCGTCCCTCTTTGACGACGGCGGGTAGTTCCGTCCCGTCTCGTACTCGACCCGTTCTCGCAACCCTCTGGCGAAGTAGTGGACCACCCTCTGGACCGCATTCCCCTTCGGGGAGGACAGGCAGTCGCACAGGTCGACGAGGGAGATGGCCTCGTCGTACTGGCGACTGTTGACGCGGTCCGCGGAGGAAAGGAGGTACTCCGCGAGCTCGACGTTCTTCTGGTCCTCGATCGAGAGCCCCGAGATGGACGGGTCAAACGGGACGTTGAGCAAGGACGGGATCCCGACCCGGTCCGAGTCCGAGCACCCGACGATCCTCAATGCTGCCAGTCTTATCGTCTCGTCTATGGAAAGGCTTGTGGGGACACGGGCGTCCATCACGTTGAAGCTATCGTTGGATGGTTCGGCGGTGAAGCTGTTGACCACTCGGTGGTTGAGGAGCTGGAACGTGGCGGAAGACAGCGACCGATCACCTTGACGATGGTGGTGGTGGTGATCGGATACGGTTTTGCTGGCGAATCCCATGGACGTCGGCTGAGGATGGACATTCACATCGTTGTGGGCGGAGAAGATTTCGAGCCATGATTCGTTCTGGGCCATAGGGGGAGACTAATGGGAAGTATAGAGTAATGGTTGAAGGGAAGGTAAAGGTCAAAATGGAGGATTTTGTGGTGTGTAGCTTTTTTTCTTCTTCTTATTTGTGTACACGTATATATGAGGGAGGGGGTGAAATGGAGAATGGTTGACTGGTTTTACGTGGAGGGTTGTTATGTGAAGAGGAATTATTCGCCGCATGATTGAGACGATAGGGTATGAGCCAAATGCAACATCACGGTCAAGTGGAGACAGAAGCTAGGCAGGGGGGTCGTAATATAATGTTAAAAAATATTATTGACGCGATATGTTTTCCATAGAGAGCCACGCTAAATTAATATGGTCTTATAAATTGATCTGTCAAACTCGATTGGTTTCACAAGTGGTATCGTCCGGCAGGTGGTATAAATGGTTTATGTCAGTTCGTGTTAATTTTAATAAAACATGTTGTAGCGAAGTGGGAAATCAATAACACTTGAATGATTTTTAAACATATACATACATAACATATTTGAAAACAATCTCTCTTAATTCTACATTTATATTCTAGTAAAATACAATATTTCAAATAAAATGAAAAATCATCGTACTTAAATACAATATTTGACGTCAACATTCAAATGTTTATATTTAAATCCAACAATTAACATAAACTTTTAAATTTAAGAAACAAATATAAAGATATTTTCAAATTATATTCACTAAAATTATGTCATTTTATTTAGAGGTAGAAAATCGGGCATGTCAATCAAACCTGAAGCATTTCAACTAATTTTGTAATCGATACTGATTGAACCCAATTGTACCGAATAGTATGTCATCGATTTGACTATCATGAAATCGATGGATTGTTCTTAACTACTGTCTACTATTCCATGTATGTAATTTTGAGATGGTGGGGCTGATGAATTTTTGTATGCTTTATTTTGTTTATTTTGACCGTAAGAATAGTTTTAATTTATATATATATCAATTTAAAAGGAAAGTAGCCGGCTGTGAAAGGAATATGAAAGGATGGAGTAAAGAGAGGTTTGACATGAGTCTTTGCTATTGAAGACAGAAAGTTGAAAAGGCCTGCATACAGTAGAATATAAAGGGAAAAAGACGACTGGTGGTGGCATGCACAAAGAAAGGCTCTTGACTTGAACAGGGTGAAGTTATGACTTATGACCTTGGAAAATACTGTATGGGAATAAAGTTCATGAACTGAATGGTTACAAGGTGGCAGGAATACAGTATATAGTATTTTCATCGTAAAACATCATACAGAAGAAAGAGGATTGAAATAAAACAGTTAAATTGTCTTGTTTGAGATTGTTAAAATTGATGTATTGTATCAATATATGTATTATAAATTGATGTATTATTGAAATGGTTAAGATTATAATGTTTGATAGTATTTTCATCGTAAAACATCATATAGAAGAAAGAGGATTACAATAAAACAGTTAAATTGTCTTGTTTGGGATTGTTAAAATTGATGTATTTTATGAATACATGTATTATAAATTGATGTATTAGTGAAATGGTTAAGATTATAATGTTTGGTAGTTGTAACTGTAATTTTATGAATAAAGTAGAAAATTATTTTTTTAATGAAAAGTCATATTTACTTCCTTTTAGATATAAAAGTCAATCACATATAAAAGTTGATAAGGGCATAAAAAAGAAGAAAAGTTGATTCACAATCTCAACAATCTCACCAAATAGTTAAGATTATAAATCATTGGGCAAATACCACTAGGAAACCCGAACTATCAACAATGTGTCATTTGTGTCGTAAAGTATCCAATATGACATTTGTGTCCTAAACTATTTTTTCGTTAGAGTTGATCGGCGTTGACCATTAGTTTTTAACAGAAAGTCTAGTCAGCGCTGATTTGACATATGAAGTGGAATTTATAACATTAATTTATAATTATTTTCCATATAGGAAAAGAAAATGAAAAAATTACAAAAAAAAAAACATAAAAACTACCCTTCCCTCTCCCTTCTCCCAACCTCCGCCGCCGCAACCTGTAAACCACTACTTCCATTCCACTTCTCGATCGTCGCAACCTGAAAATCACTAATTCCATTCCACTTCTCGACCACTGCAACTTGAAACCGTTGCTCCTGTTGAAGCCTCGTCGCCGTTGCAGATCCAAGGAAACCAAAAACCCAGATCCAATGAAACCAAGAAATGGCGGCGTTGAAATTAGATCTGGAGCGACGATTTGGAAGGGGTACGATGATAGACCGTTAATTACACATGTTTTCACCCCTGTTCTTACACCGTTTGAGATGTGGTTTCTCGTGTTTTAGGCCGATTTCACGCTAGGTTGTGTTTGTTTGTGATATTTCAGGTCCTAGTACGTGAATGGAGGATTGGGAGCGAGTTTGGGGTCGATTGGACGAAGATCGGGCGCGAGGCAAGTCACAAAGGAGGCCACACGGGCACACCCACAACTCACACGGCCGTGCAAGTGACCACTTTGGCCGTGTGAGATTGTGCGAGAGCAAACACGGCTTGCCCTAATGTTCACACGACCGTGTGAAGGAGTGGTTTGGTCGTGCGAGTTTCGCCGAGAGCAAACACGGACAAGATGGAAATAACACACGGCCGTGCGACCCTGGCCGTGTGGGAAGCCTGAAGATCGAACTAATTGGAACGCAGCGTTTTGACTCACACGGGCAACTGGGTATGCCACACGGCCGTGTGGCCCAGCCCGTGTGAGTCGGGAATTCCTGGTTTTAACCCAATTTCGGGCTGCAAGAGAGGGAATCGGGATTTTGGAGCAAAAACAGAGCCCTAGAGAGAGAAAGGACGAAGAACACATCCTAGAAGCTATCTTGGAGCTGGGTTTCATCAAATCAAGCTTGGAGATCGTCATAGGAGTGGAAATCATCATCCCAGAGCAGATTCTTCCCATAATTATGAGTATGACTGCTTTGTATCTTGTTTTCCTCTCTCTCTCTCTCTCTATGGAGTAGAACCCCTCTCTCACTTGGGGATGAAGAACCCTAGTTCTATGTGTTAGGGATTGATTGTAATGACTTGGGATGATAATGCTGTTTGATTTTAATCGAATGATGCATGTTTATTGAGTCAATTGAAGTCTGATCAACTTTTCCTGATTCCTGCTGCAATCTGAGATAGATAGAATCTGATTAGGTTGCTAGAGTCTCATCATTCGGTAGTAGGAGATTGGCTATACGAGAGTTAGCCAGTTTACTGCTTTGTACTGGAATCAAATTCCAGTAGTGGAGTTCTGTTCTTACTGCTTCAGCTTTCTATCCCGGGGAAGACTAGTCGTCTGTCGGGTAGATAGACTGAGAGGGCTTGGTCAGCTTAAGAGATTCCAAGCTACTGTCGGATCTTCCGCAGTCTAATCAACAGTAAATCAACCCAGGGAAATACAATTGAAACCTAACTAAGGAGCTAGGGGGATTCATTCCCGAGTGACTCTTACCTGCTTGAGAAAACTGTATCAATTCCTGCTTTCTTTCTGCTTTTGCTTTTAAACAACAATCACTTACTTTAGTTGGCTAGATAATAGAGAATCACGGAGTAAGCAGTAGATCTAGACCCCGGGTTGATAATATAACTTGCATGTTACTGCATTCCCAGTCTGCGATTACACTTGGTCGCAGATTGGTGTTGTGTTTTGGCGTGTCAAGTTTTTGGCGCCGTTGCCGGGGACCCTCTAGGTTATTGGGGAAACGTGAGAATTTGTTACTCTAGCTTTTTATTTACTGCATTTTATCTCTTCCACCTGTGTGCCTTCGCGGGTTGCTTCTGCTGATTGTGTGCAGGTAGTGCATGACCCGTAGCCAGTCGGGAGATCTACTACCACTGGACCAGGAGCTTGAACGAACCTGCAGAAACTTCAAGCGGGCTCTAAAGGCGCGACTGGCTGCGGAGGAGATGGCTGATCCACAGGGCCATGCTGTGGTCGATCCCGAGGAGCAGACCATGGGACATTACTGGACCGCCAGGGCTGCAGACATGAGGCCACCCATTCAACACCCTCATGTCCCAGCCAATAATTTTGAGGTGAGCACCTCAGTAATCACCATGCTGCGCGGTTCGGTGATGTTCCGTGGCAAAGAGGGGGAGTGCCCCCGATCACATCTCAGGCGATTCCACGAGCTCATCGATGGAATTAAGATCAACGGGGTCCCAGCAGATGCCATCCAGCTGAGGTACTTCCCATTCACCCTGGAGGGGCAGGCCAAGGAGTGGCTAGACACACGACCTCCAGGCTCCATCACCACGTTCGCCAACCTGGCGGACAAGTTTCTCACCCGCTACCATCCTCCGTCCAAGACGGCGGACTTGCAAAAGCAGATCACCCACTTCACCCAGGATGAAGATGAGACCATCCGGGATGCTTGGGAGAGATACAACAGTCTCTTCCTGAGGTGTCCCAATCATGGTTTCAACGATGCTTTCAAGGTGGGAACCTTTTATCATGCCCTCTTCCCAGAAGATAAGCAACTGATTGACTCAGTTTGTGGCGGGAACATGCTGACTAAAACACCGCCACAGCTGAATCAACTCTTTGAGGAGATGGCAGAGAACGGGTATGATTGGGGCACTGGGAGGAGGTCGAGGAGAGCACCAAGCCGAGGTGTACATTCTATGGGAAACCATTCCTCTGATTTGGTGCAGGTGGTGTCGATGTGGTTTCAGCTATCGATCGTTCCGGGATGATTCCAGGGACCGGACAGCAGCAGACGATGCTCTGCCAGTGGTGCGAGAGCACCCATCATACAGTGGAAGACTGCCAGGCGATGAAGGAATCGACCACACCCTAGGAGCAGGTGAACTTCATCAACAATGTCAGGCGCAATGACCCCTAAAGTAACACCTACAATGAGGGGTGGCGCCAGCATCCCAACTTCTCCTGGGGTGGGGCAAATTCCAGACCACCAGTCCCCCAGGGACCACCGGGCTTCCAGAGGCCACCATATCAGCCCAAACAGGGGCAATTCCAGCAGCAGCAGTCTCTCTACCAGCCGATGCAGGGGCATGCTGCTCCATCACAGCCGCGACCTTTCCAGCAGCCAGGTGCAGCCCCTGCCGCCCCAGTGCAGAATGATCAGATGGCTGAACTGCGGGAATTGGTGGGTTCTCTCGCCAGTTCTAGTGCTAAAAAATTTAACACTATCGAGCAGTTCATGGAAAAGGCATCGGGTAAATTCCTGGCTCTTGAAGCTGGCCAGAGGAACACACAGGCTGTCTAGCAGGATATCCAAACCCAGCTGGGGAGTGTGGCTCAAGCAGTGGCACAAAGGGCTCCTGGTACCTTGCCCGGTCAGCCCATTCCTCACCCTCAGAACCCGAATGAGCACTGCAATGCCATCATGACCAGGAGTGGCAAGATGCCTGTTGATCCACCTGCTCGGGCACAAGAGAGAGAGGCCCCTGCCTCGGCATCTCCGGCAGCTGAAGAAGAAGCAGAGAAGGAGGTTGAGGTGCCCGAACCTAAACCGCAACCAGTAGTGAAGGAGTATATCCCTAAACTCCCCTTTCCTACTCGGTTGCACAAAGACAGGCTGGAGGCCGAGTTCGAGAACTTCATGGCCATGCTTAGGAAGCTGAATGTCCAAGTACCCTTCCTGGAGGCACTTTCGCAAATTCCTAAGTATGCAAAGTTCCTGAAGGATCTTCTCTCAAAGAAGCAGAAGCTGAGCGAGCTGGCCACTGTGGAGCTCAGCGAGGAGTGCTCGGCCATTCTGCCGAACAAGCTTCCGCAGAAACAGAAGGACCCAGGTAGTTTTACTATCCCGTGCTCTATAGAGAATTTGCATGTAGAGAGGTCCTTGGCAGATTTAGGTGCTAGTATAAATGTTATGCCATATAAACTGTTTAAGAAACTAGGCCTAGGTGAACCCCGTGCTACTAGGATGAGCCTTCAATTAGCTGATCGATCTGTAGTGCATCCTAGGGGCATAGTGGAAGACCTTCTGGTTAAGGTTGGCAAATTCAATTATCCTGTTGATTTTGTGATTTTGGACATAAATGAGGATGTGGATGTGCCATTGATACTGGGAAGGCCTTTCCTGGCCACCGCCAAGGCCCTCATAGATGTGCATGATGGGACCTTAGTTTTGAGGGATGGTGAGGAGCGAATAGCGTTTCAATTTCTAATACTCGTCCTGCTTCGTCACCTCTGCATGCTGTATCTCACCAGGAGCACGAGTCTGTCGTGTATCCTTCTGTGTTGCCTATTTTGCAGGATCCGTCCCCCATACCTTCGCCGCCACTCCCGTCCACTCCGTCATCGAAGGAACAGATTAAGGTGGAGTGGCGGCCGAAACAGCAGGCAGCTAAGCCTGCTCGAAAGAAGGCCGGAGACCACTATGAGCTGGTCCCGCTCCCACCTTGGCCATCCAAGTATTCACTCGCTTGCATCCTGCCGGATGGCCAAGTTGAGTTGGCAAATGCTGGTGGCCACATTCGGCGTGTGCATGGCCATCATTTAAAGTTTTACCTCAAGAGCGAGGTGGATCCGCTCTTGAAGGCACCTGCTCCTTCACCTCACTGAGCATCCACCGACTGTCGTCCAGCTAAAAGACGGTAAAGAAGCGCTTGTGGGGAGGCAACCCCACCTAGGTTTGCATTTTCTTACCTTTTTCTTTTTGATTTTTTGTGTTTTTTTGAGTCTTGAGGGGTTATTCACGAGTTGTATGTCGTTCTGGAGTGAAAACAGGTCAGTTTCGGAGTTCAGGCAGCTCACATGGCCAGCCCTGAATGTCACACGGCCGTATGGAAAATAGGTTTGGCCGTGTGAGCTCTCGCAGAATTCCACACGGCCAGATGAGATGGTGGCACGGCCGTGTGGGAATTTGCCCTGGCCGTGTTTGCTCTCACATATTATGGCACGGGCAAATGAGCACTCGGCACGGCCGAGTGAAATTCCTCGGCCAGCCCGTGTCGGCCGACACGGGCAAAAGTGCTCATGACACGGCCGTGCAAGTCAGGCCGTGTGGCCGAGACACGGCCTATATATTCGGCCAGCACGGCCGGGTCGTCAGAAATTTCAAAAATCCTCGCCGGAATCCTCTGTTCCTCGCCGGAAAACCGCGACAAAACCACACTTTTCGATTTTTTCGGCCATTTTGTGTCATTTTTCCACCAAACCAACAACAAACCCACCCTTCCTACACCAAAAGCGGCCTATCCCTCCATTTTGAGTAGATTTGGACGACGTTTTTGTCCCCGGAGGCGATTTCCGGCGAGACTCCGGCGAGGCTCCGACGAGCACTTTCGGGCACTTTTTCGGCTTTTCGTCGCTTCCATCGCCTTCCCCTCCTCATCCCCTACACCTCTACTTGAGTCTCCAGGTTTGATTTTGCCCTTAACTATGTTAATTGTGGAGAATTGGGTGTTAGGGTGCACGTTTAGAGAACCTCATTGAATCTTGTGATTTTTGTGCAATTGATTGAGGGGAATGCATGGAGTGTGTTTGAATTGTGTTGGGCAAAGTCCCTCTTGATTGTTTGAGCCCTTGTGTGCAAGAATTGTGCCAATTTCATGCTTACCTTAATATTGCACACAAGGTGTTCGATGAAATGCCTGTTTTCGTACCATTTTGTGGGGGTCGGTTGGGGCCCTTAATGATGTGCTTTGAGGGTGTGTTTGGTATGGATGTGAACCTTGAATTGCCTACTTGTTCATGGATTTGCACCCCCACTCAGATTATGCTTGATTTATCGAGTTTTTGACCCCCGAACTATGGATGAAACCATGGTTAGGCTGTTTTCTGTTCTTAAGTGTGGGGGTGTGATTAACATTTTCCTTGGCTGTTTTGGTTCCACTTTGGGCCGTTCTTTTGCAGGACCGTGTCGAAGCCCAACCTCCGGCACCAGTTTGTTCAAGATTTGAGAAGGGCGCCCCACCGGGATCGTTTTCAGAACGTCCTGGCCTGCAAGTTTGGGCAGCATCATTACTGGTCGAAGCGCGAATTGGAGAAGCTGAACTGCTACGAGCACCTTCATCACCGAGATTGCCGAGACAACAGGGGTGGACTTCGGGAGGCTGTACTTCAGCCTCGCTCGGCCACGTCAGCTTCCCTTCAAGGCGAGGAAGACGAAGGCCAGCACATTGCAGCTCGAAAACCTTCTCCTCCATCACATGCTGACCAAGAGATCCCTGTACTTCATCCAGTCCATGCGCCAGAGGGATCATCCCCTACACTTGGGCTCGGTGGTGGCGAGGACCTTCGAGAAGAGTGCTTCTGAGCTGAAGAAACTCCACTGCACTCCCTTCATCACCTGCCTGGCAGAGTACTTCCAGATATCCCTGCAGGGGTGCACAGAGCAGGGAGAGACCACTCCCTTTGGCCGGGTTACGATCACCAAAATGCTCCTGCTTCGAGAAGAGCGAGGTGTCATGTGGATCGAGGGGTTTCCTCAACCTCAGATCCCATAGGCGGTCCAGCAGGAGGCTCCCGAGGGTGCAGCTGATGAGGAGGTCCAGCCCGAGGATGTGGATGACACTGCTGCCGCCCGCCCCACCACCTTCAAGTACGGGGGTGGCAGTTCCAGCTTCCCCGGCCAGGACTACTTCACCTCCCAGTTCGAGCAGCTGCGTCTCCAGAACCAGCAGATCCTCAACCATCAGATGCAGTTCCAGCAGCAGTACGTGGCTCACCAGGCCGAGTACCACCAGAGGATGGCTGTTTACGATGAGAGATTGGACCAGCTCCAGACCCAGCAGGGAGTGACTCTCGCACACATCGAGCGGGAGAGGCGCCGCTCTCGGCGCATGCAGGAGGTACAGGGGCATCTGCTCCAGCTGCTACCGGGCGAGCAGCCAGTCTGGAGGACTCCCTGGGAGGACTCCCCACTTCCACCTCCACCCGCTGATGGTGATGATGGTGCTGATGGTGATGACGCGTTCATGGACGACATCGACCTGGATAACCTCGGCGGCGAGTAGGCTGTACTCGTTGCCCATCTCAGTGTGTTTTGTTTTTCGTTTTAGACTTGTGTGTGTTTGCTCCATGTGTGAGGAGCTTGAACTTAGTGTCGTTTGTTTTTGTTTTTGTTTTTTTTTTCTTTTGTGGATTGTTTTTGTAGTAGCCGTCTGGGCTAACACTTATCCCTAATACAACGTGTGCTAGTGTGTTCTTGGTGTTCGATTCGTGCAGAACTGTCCATCTTCCCGTTTGTTTCTCGCTGACTGGTCCACTTCTAGTCCCCCAGCAGTTTCAATCCGGTAACATCGTTTCCCTTCTCTATTCCTCTGCTCCATTGAGGGCAATGTCGTGCTTAAGTGTGGGGGGGGTGCTTTGTATTGGTTGGAATGTATATATGTGTGCTTGGAGCCTAGTCCACTGTCCAAATCTCGAGATTTGAGGGCTCCAAGTACTGCTGTTTGATCATATTGGCACTGTGTTTTGATTGATGAATTGAATGGTTTTCGGATTGATGCATGACAGCTTGATTGTGACTAGGACAACCTATGATGAGGACTAAGACGTGCAGTAGAGTTGTGTAGGGGTTCAGTTTTTCAACTGTTTGCTTACCAACTGTGACTTGGATTGATTACTTGTTCTTGACAGTCTCTTATGCATCTAGTTCAGGGTATCAGAATGTGAGATAGAGCATATAGGTAGCCATGTGAGATTTGAGCCTGCTCGTTTCTTTCTTGTGCGATAGATCCCTCTTCCATGATGTGTAGCATTCACGTTGTCACTAGCTAAGATGATGGGGGCATAGGATTAGCCCACGACCAAATTTGACTGTCCTGATGTGTCATATCCCCTAGTCAGCCCTTTTGAGCCGTGTGTTATCCTTTCTTTTGGTCTGAAATGAAAAAAAAATCACCCTGTTTGCATCTTTTAGAAGGTTCCACAGAGTGGGTTTTACATGTTCTCTGCTGTTTCTGCTAAATTTGATGTGAGTGTTGGAGGTAGTGCTTAAAAGTTGGGATGGGCAGGTGTTTGAAATATATGCAGAAGTGGTGGCTCTCTTAAGAAATGAAAAGAAAATGAAAGAAAAACAAAGAAAAATTGGAAGCAAAAGAGAGCCACTACCAAAAATCTGAATAATGCCCAGTAAGTAGTGTTTCTTAGCAGTCTGGCTTGGAAATGCTGACATTTTTACCTCCTTCGCTCTTGTGCTCTTGAGATATTGAGTAATGCAGAATAGCATAAAGGAAATACCGGTTTGTTTGACTGTGATCGTTGGGTTTGGAAATGTGGAACCTTGTGCTATGAATACTTCCACCACCTAAAAGGCCTTTTCCCCATGTCCAAGACCCTAGCCAGTCATTTGAACCTGTGTCTAAGACCTCCTGATTAGTTAGTGGTGACACCCCATATGTGAACTCTAGCGTTTAGAGGCTGCCATCATGGTGAAGAGATGTTAGGGATTGAGAGAAATAACTTGCGCATTTTTCGCATCAAATTGTCCTGACCCCACTGGTCGAGAGTGAGTGATTCATTTTCATATTCTATATACTCTTGTACCCCGGTGAGGACCTAGATTGCTCGGTCTCTATTCTGATGTCTTGAGTTGGATGCATGAGTTGACTGTTTTGAGTAAGTGGTTGAGTCAAGCCTAGGTTGGTTGGTGAACAGAAGGGAGACTCTTCCTTTACTCGATTTTGCTGCACTCGAATGTCCTTTGTGGTGGTTGTCCAGGTTGCTATTGAAGTTGGTCAGGTATTGATGTTTGAAAACCAGTACGATTCACGTGTTCTGTGCCTTTATGACTTGTCCCAAATGTTGGTTGATTGAAATATGTGAGCTTACCTTGTGTCTGACTTGGTTTGCTTGGGGACAAGCAAACGGTTAAGTGTGGGGGAGTTTGATAGACCGTTAATTACACATGTTTTCACCCCTATTCTTACACCGTTTGAGATGTGGTTTCTCGTGTTTTAGGCCGATTTCACGCTAGGTTGTGTTTGTTTGTGATATTTCAGGTCCTAGTACGTGAATGGAGGCTTGGGAGCGAGTTTGGGGTCGATTGGACGAAGATCGGGCACGAGGCAAGTCACAAAGGAGGCCACACGGACACACCCACAACTCACACGGCCGTGCAAGTGACCACTTTGGCCGTGTGAGATTGTGCGAGAGCAAACACGACTTGCCCTGATGTTCACACGGCCGTGTGAAGGAGTGGTTTGGCCGTGCAAGTTTCGCCGAGAGCAAACACGGGCAGGATGGAAATAACACACGGCCGTGCGACCCTGGCCATGTGGGAAGCCTGAAGATCGAACTAATTGGAACGCAGCATTTTGACTCACACGGGCAACTGGGTATGCCACACGACCGTGTGGCCCAGCCCGTGTGAGTCGGGAATTCCTGGTTTTAACCCAATTTCGGGCTACAAGAGAGGGAATCGGGATTTTGGAGCAAAAACAGAGCCCTAGAGAGAGAAAGGACGAAGAACACATCCTAGAAGCTATCTTGGAGCTGGGTTTCATCAAATCAAGCTTGGAGATCGTCATAGGAGTGGAAATCATCATCCCAGAGCAGATTCTTCCCATAATTATGAGTATGACTGCTTTGTATCTTGTTTTCCTCTCTCTCTATGGAGTAGAACCCCTCTCTCACTTGGGGATGAAGAACCCTAGTTCTATGTGTTAGGGATTGATTGTAATGACTTGGGATGATAATGCTGTTTGGTTTTAATCGAATGATGCATGTTTATTGAGTCAAATGAAGTCTGATCAACTTTTCCTGATTCCTGCTGCAATCTGAGATAGATAGAATCTGATTAGGTTGCTAGAGTCTCATCATTCCAGTAGTGGAGTTCTGTTCTTACTGCTTCAGCTTTCTATCCCGGTGAAGACTAGTCGTCTGCCGGGTAGATAGACTGAGAGGGCTTGGTCAGCTTAAGAGATTCCAAGCTACTGTCGGATCTTCCGCAGTCTAATCAACAGTAAATCAACCCAGGGAAATACAATTGAAACCTAACTAAGGAGCTAGGGGGATTCATTCCCGAGTGACTCTTACCTGCTTGAGAAAACCGTATCAATTCCTGCTTTCTTTCTGCTTTTGCTTTTAAACAACAATCACTTACTTTAGTTGGCTAGATGATAGAGAATCACGGAGTAAGCAGTAGATCTAGACCCCGGGTTGATAATATAACTTGCCTGTTACTGCATTCCTGGTCTGCGATTACACTTGGTCGCAGATTGGTGTTGTGTTTTGGCGTGTCATACGACGATTTGGAAGGGGTACGAGCTTCCATCCGCCTCCTTGTAGGAAATTTGGAAGGGGTACGAGCTTCCATTCGCGACCTCCGTCAGCCACATACATCTTCCTCAGCCTTCATTGCCTGATGGGAGTCGCCGTTCCATCTTCCTCATGTCTGTTCAACACCAACGCCGTCCGGTGGGTCTCCGAGTCCGGGAAGGGCCTGTTGATTGTCTTGTAGTTTTCACAGAGGATGACGAAGGGTCTCCCACCAGCGCAGTCGATTTGGAATTGGCGGAGGGAGGAGCAAGGTTGTTCTCTCTCTGGCGGAGGGAGGAGCGCAAGGGGAGGACGAGAAGCTGGGCTGGAGAAGGTCGGGTCGCGGCGGCGGGAAGGGCGAGGAGCGAGATTGCAGGGTCGTGATTGGGGAGGGCCGGTGCATCGATCTCCCACCCCCAATTCCTTCTTTGTAGCGAGGTGGAACAGAATCTTCCCCCTGTCCATCGTGTTTCCCCATTTGAGCGGCGATGGTGAATCTGAGATGAGGAAGAATGGGATTCGTTTGTATTTTTTATTTAATTGTTAATTTTAATTTAAAAATAATAATCTGATGTGGCAGTTGACGTGGCGCAGATGTGGCTGCCACATATGTGCCATGTAACCAACAATCAACATTTTATGGGTGACCGTTTGGTCAACCATTATTTATAACGGTCAACGGAATTGTGAGGACGTAAATGACACACAACTATAATAAGTAAGGACACAAATGTCATATCGGATACTTTAGGACACAAATGACACATTCTTCATAGTTCGGGTTTCCTAGTGGTATTAGCCCTAAATTATTCATTTTGAATGATTACAAATATCACAACAACAATCAAATGCATGCATTGTATTTTATTTCGCAACAAAAAACGATGCTTATATACAATACATGCATTCGTTAAATATATCTATAGCATATACCAAACGACGTCTAAAGTATGCAAATGATACAGTAAGAAACAAGCAAGTTGGCTGTATGACATCTTGTATAGTACAAACTAAATTTATACTTTTATGTTATGGTGGATTGGATTCATGAATTGGTGGATTGGATTCATGGATACAAGTGAAATCTAAACATTGAACCAATGTGTACATTTTAAAAAATGTAGGTATGAAAATCTCATAAAATTTGAATACCAAAACATAATTGTTTATTAATTTTGCATTAAAATTAAATTTCGGGTATCAAAATATAAAATATACATTATAGTGATTAAATTGTAATTTAATTAAATTTGGGATATCAAAATATAATAATTTATGCAATAATAACTTTGCTTCTTCTTTATACAATAATAATATTTGCATCAGTTGTATATGACAGGTAAGAATGCCCATCTGGCCATCCCAAAATGTGTCAGAGGAAGGAAGTTATAAGCAAGATTGCAAGATTACAGAAACTATGAATGAAGAATCATCAAGAGTTGGTTTGGATTAGGAATTTGTGAGGGATTATGGTTCAAATGTCTCATTAAAAAATTCAGCTAATTAAAACAAGAAAATTGAGTCAAATCACTTGTTTGATAATGGACACTACAAGAAAATGCATATTTCGCGACGGAATCATCAAGAGTTGGTTTGGATTAGGAATTTGGCTATGAGGAATTTGTGAGGGATTATGGTTCAAATATCTCATTTAAAAATTCAGCTAATTAAAACAAGAAAATTGAGTCAAATCACGCGTTCGATAATGGACACTACAAGAAAATGCAGATTTCGCGACGATACAATTTGTTGCCAAAAATATAAACTCTGTCGCAAAACATAGAGCGACGAAATCTTGCGTCACAAAAAGTGTTCACCTTGCGTCGCATATACCGCGTCGCCATATCATTAGGCGACGATAATCAGTCATTCGTCGCAAATAGTTTGCCCGTCGCCAAAAGTCGGAACTATTGCGACGGTTTAGTCGTCGCAAATGGAACTATTAGCGACGCCACAGGATGTAGGGTCGGAAACTTTCTGCGACAGATATTATGTCGCAAAATAGTATTCCTGGGACTTTTATTTTCGTGGCGTATGGTCTGCAACTTTCGCGACGGAAATATACATCGCAAAAACAATGCGCAATCTGTTACTTCGGACTTTTGGCGATGAAATAGACCGTCGCAAAGATCCTTTTATTCGTCTGTCCCTAATTGAACTTGTCTTTTTTTTTTCATTTATTTCCTGTGCATCTCCTAAAATTAAATAGCCATGTTGGAATCCCTTCTTCTTTCATAATAAAGCCCATAACAGTGCAATATCGTTTACATAATGAGTATTCTTCACATGGACTAATAGATGATCACTACTAACTCTTTCATAACTCAAGACCTTAAACTACCTGCAAGAACATATACATAATATAAAAACATTCATTGTTGATGCTCAAAATATCCATCATCAACTTGCCCGTCCATGTCAAAATTCAGCTTGCCGTTGATAATCTATAGAAAGAATCAATCAAAAACAAAATTGTGAGTTAGTGCTGACTCATGTTACTATGGAATTCTAATGATAAACACAATTGTGAGTTAGTGCCTTTTTTGTAGTGGGATTTAGAATTGTTTAACGAGAAATTTAAATTTTAATGATAAACATAAAATAATATTTTGCCCTTGTGTCATGTGGATTGGCCAGGGTCTTCTTCAGCTAATGACACCTCGATCCCGAAGCCTTTGGACCTTAATAAGGATGATCGATAAGAAAGGTCAATTGAAGCACGAATTCCCACTACTAATCCATTCTTAAACGCGAGTGGCCCTAGCTCCAGCTATAGGCGCTATAAAGCCCGGAGAAAGCCGCGAGCTGAGCGAGGATATGAAACGTGTATGAGGAGAGGAACAAATATGCGAGAACTAAGGAAGGGAGAGGGTAGATCCACTTCTGATTTAGCAAATCACTCAAAAGCCTATGGATAAAGCTAGTCTATTGACTTGTTTACTATAGAGAGGTTAGCGCTAACAAGTCTTAGAAAAGATTGTTGGATGAGAAGACTATCTGGTCTTTCTTTTGTTCGAAGTCCGTGTTCTTACGGCAAAGTTGGATGCCTGATCTTTATTTACCCAGCTCTTGGCTCTCTTCTTTGAAGATCCTCCAAAATTGGAAAAAGGACGGTGGTAGATTGGCAACGGAGGATAGCTACGGAAGCCGCAACGTTCTCGTTGGAGGCGCTTTGGAGCTGGCGCAGGCATGTCCTTCTTCTTATTGTAGTTGATTGAATAAGGCTTCCCCCCTTCGCTTCTTCTTTGTTCATTCGTAAATTGCGTCTTTTTAAGCCATGTCAAAACGGGTTCTATCATGGAAGCTCCAGGGCCGTAGCGGAGGATGTTCCGACCATTGAAAAATTGAACGATGCTCAAGATGGCGGGTTGGCAAAATGAACGGAGGAGTCGCAGGACTGGTAGAGGATGTCCATCCTGACTTCCTCATCGTTCGCCTATCGTGGCAGTCAATGCTGAGAAGGAGAGCAGTGGCATGACCAGAGTCGGAAGCTCTTACAACTGAGCACCGACCTCCGAGTTATAACTTCCCAAGTCGTCGTGGTTTTCTTATTTATAGGGCCTTCTTCCCCCATTGGTATAATCGCTTTTGAATTTTGCTTGTTCTAAGATGTTGCGACCTTTTCACTACTGGTGTATAGTATTTGGAGAGCAGTTGGACATTGGTGCTCGTTATCATGAAATAAGAATGTATGGACAAGAACAACTACTACCAACAAGCAGAAAGCTTACAAGCAATGCAGTTAAAATCACGTTTTAAAATTTAAAAACTTACATTTTTTGATGTGTTGTGCATCGAGCTTCACATTTATAAACTCGATCGTCGACAATACTAGCTACCGCAATCTAAGACAAGTGCACCCTAGATCGACGAAGTAGTATAGTGGTGACTGAGGTCGTATTCCAAGGATCACGGGTATCCCAAACTACTTAGGCGCGTTCGTTATCTAGTCAACCTGTTACTTACAAGGCGAGGTAGTTAATGATTACTGACCTAGAGATCAATAAAGGAGAAGAGGTAATCAGGGTAACTCCCACGCCCTAAAATTAGGTTCATCATGCAAATGGGTAACTATGTTAGGTTTGCAGGATAAGGTGCGGAACTAGCTCAACTGAGGGTTTCAATGATTACTTCCCTCCTTCTAGTACACTCCCAAAAACCCATTGTCACCTCAATCAAAGCTCACGTACTAGGGAATGATCACTAGTTCTTCTCAATAGGTTCAACCTATCACGCACACTAAAATGATGGATCGATGACGCTTGCATCATCTCTAGCATTGTCTCAGAAAGGCGTTCATCTAACAGGGGTACGGTCGCCTCGTCCACTAAAATGAAGCCTATGATCATTCACCTACCTTTAATTAATCATAAGGTGCTCAAATACAGCCTAACTCTAAAACTCCCATCTAGTTCTAAGATAGGCTAGTAGAGAAGAGTTGGAGAGACAAGCGTCAACATAATCAAGCATAACTGAAACATATATTCACTGAAACAAACAAATCCATACATAAATCCTAACACAATCACATCTACATTCAAAACCTAAATTCTAGTATTTGGAGATTTTAACCCCTAATACCTTGTAGCACTACCCGGGGGGGGGGGGGGGGGGGGGGGGGGGGGGGGGGGGGGGGGGGGGGGGTAGATGTATGTGAAGAAATAGAAGCAAAATTGAATTGGGGAGAGCTCTCTCCCTCCTTGACTCCCCATACTTCTTCTCTTCAACTTCTCTCTCTAGCCTCACTATATAATAAAAAATCGACCAAAAGCCATCTACTCAAGGGGCGAAGTCCAATATTGATTCATAAAAAAAAAGTCCCATATTTATAGAATTATGAGGACACGGGCAAGTACACGAGCACAATGCAGGAGATTGTTGCCATGATTTCAGGGAGTGAGAGGTCACTATCTTGACTTCAGCGATTTTGGTCTTGTCTGATTTTGAAGATCGCGGCCTGACTTCACGGTCGCCCATGAGTAATGAGACACTTTGTTTGCTGATATAGGGATGGATTCCCAAAATCAATAGCTTCTCTCTTCTTTTCTATCATATCACATAATTTTCCATTCCCAGTTTAGTTAGAAAATAGTATATGATTCATAATTGAACCTTTCTCGACAACTTGAGTTATTAGGATCAACTGGTACTTGGCATGATATTAGAGCCTTCTGTGATCGAGAGTTTTTCTATTAAAATTCTGATGACCCTATCTGTAACCGAGAAGTCTTTTATTCAAATCCCGATAACTTCATTTATTCTATTAAGCAAATACTATCTAGACATGTGCAAACTTTATGAATCAACTTTCATACTCAAATTATTGAGATCAATTCGTTATTAACCATTTCAATCAATCTTCCGTCTTATTCAGGCTTACTTTTTACAATGTGTTTCTTAAGCTTAGCACATAATACAAATATTAGCTTCTCATTTTGGGCTGGAAGCCTTGAACCAACCAACTATCTTGCTTATAGATATGCCCCATTATATTAGTTGTTGTTTGGTAATGGGATTTGGATGTTCTATTTGGTCTCCAAATACCATCATGTTTTTTTGTTCAAAGTCATTGTTTGTTAAGGTATGCAAAATCCGTGGGCATACCATCATGTTTTTTGTTCAAAGTCATTGTTTGTTAAGGTATGCAAATCCGTGGAGCCCACGGATTTGGACAATTTTTTAGCTCCAAATTCATGGACCTCACGTATTTACAAATACCATATTTTATTTGGTATTTACAAATACCATATTATGAAAGGCAAATTTTTAAGACCCAAATAACAAATTAACTAAATCCATAATAAAAATTCAACTAAACAAACAATGTTATCTTTCAAATATAAAAATGCAACAAATCCATCATAAATCCAAAAATATTCAATATTCAAAACTTGCGCTTTTCTATATAATAATGGGCTTGTTAGCCCCTTTTTCATTTATAAAGCCCATGTTTCAATAAAAACTAAAAACACACACTGAGGCAAGCAAACAATTTCATGACGTCGACGCTGGCTTGATCGCGTAACCAACACGTCTGGCCACCGCGCGTGGTGTGCTAGCGTCAAAATGTGCTAAATCCAGAAAATATCTTATTAGGTTTCCCCTTTTTTTTGGTTAATATATTTGTATGGTCTGAACTTTGGCCAAAATAAATATCCTGACCAGTGGCGGACCCAGAAATTTTACAAAGAGGTGTCCTCTTTTAAAAAATAAATTAAATAAAAATAATTCTAAAATAATTAATTAAAAATAATATTTAAATAAGAAATACCTTACTCATACAGTCATACAGTTTGAAAAAATTCACGATGTGTTTTCATATTTAAAAATGATTGTAGAACACACTTGGGGTCTACACTGTTCAAAAAAAGTTGTCTCTGTATATCATATTAGACAATCATTCACGAACTGATCACATGTTGATTTCTAAACTTGTTCTTGATGTAATCCAAAGCTGAAAAGACTCTTTCAACACTTGTCGTGCAACCATAAATCAATACAAATTAAGGGTAGCTTAAAATTTGTTTAATTGTTAGATTTTGAAAATAATTAGAGATAGAGAATGACATTATACTATTACACAGTGTTTAAAATCGAATAACATATGCAGTCATATAGCTAGAAAAAATTCACGATGTGTTTTCATATTAAAAAATGATTGTAGAACACACTTGGGGTCTACACTGTTCAAAAAAAAATTGTCTCTGTATATCATATTAGACAATCATTCACGAACTGATCACATGTTCGATTTCTAAACTTGTTCTTGATGTAATCCAAAGCTGAAAAGACTCTTTCAACACTTGTCGTGCAACCATAAATCAATACAAATTAAGGGTAGCTTAAAATTTGTTTAATTGTTAGATTTTGAAAATAATTAGAGATAGAGAATGACATTATACTATTACACAGTGTTAAACATCGAATAGCATATGAGTTGTAGCCTAATGGAAATTATGTTTATTAAAATTGTCCTAAGTTTGAATTACCCAAACATTCACTTATATTCTCATACTCAAACTTAAAGATGATAGTAGGATAATCACTTTTTTAAATTTAGGGGTGTCCCCGACTATCAATTATATTTTTTTTGTCAATACGTAAATTACCACCGGGAGTTGGATAGTCGTTTTCCCAAAATTTAGGGGTGTCCGGGGACACCCCCAAACACCCGTGGGTCCGCCCCTGATCCTGACCAATCTTTTCGCTCTATAACATCCTGGCCCGAACTATACATCAAAATAACTAATTTGGCCAGACCTGACATTTGACTGTCAACTTGAATGGTCAAATGCGATAACTAACGGTCAACGCGCCATGTCACTGCCAACTCAACAAATTTCAATTAATTTTTTTTAATTTCCACCTATTTTCATTTTCCTTTCTTTTTTCATTTTGAACAAAAAAAAAAATAGAAAATAACTTTTCGATTTCGGGTATATCTCCCAAGACCCGCTGCCCTAACCTCATTCATCCCGCCACCAGCCGACTCCAGAACCGGATCGGAAGCAGCCAAACCGACGACGAATAAGACAGATCTAGCGGCGACCAACTTCTTCCTGGTAAGGAGTCGAGGGCCGTACAACTTGCCGAAAAAGCAAGGGACGCCGTCCGATGATGGGACCGATGGAGGGGAGTGGCGCTCCGAGTCAAGAAGCGGCGAAGGAGACATGGGTCGGAGAGATCTGGCAACGCTGATTTTGGAGTCCCGGAAACGGGCGCCGGGCTTGAGGTAGCGCTGGAAGCAGCATTGGGTGGGTTTTGAAAATCTGGAGATGCCCACCATTTTTGGAGGATGATGGGAGGAAGAAGAGGAATCGATGGATGGATTGGGGAAGGAAAGTGGAGATAGGGTTTTGGGGATATACCCAAAATTGTAAAGCTATTTTTTTTTCAAAATGAAAAAGGAAAGGAAAATGAAAATAGGTGGAAATTAAAAAAAAATTTGAAATTTGTTGAGTTGGTAGTGACATGGTGCGTTGACCGTTAGTCAACTCGTTTGACTGTCCAAGTTAACAGTTAAACTTAGGGTCTGACCAAATTAGTTATTTTGATGTATACTTCATGTCAGGATATTATAGATCGAAAAGATTGATTAGAATATTTATTTTGGTCAAAGTTCAGATTATACAAATATATTAGTCTAAACAGCCGGTTCGAACCTCCACTTAGTTTCACCCAAGTTTCATCCTGGTCATGGTTCGGGTCCATAAGCAGTGACAATGGCCCTATCCATGCGAAATTGAAAAATTTACCACTCGCGAACCACCGTTCTGCCGTTACCCCGGGAAGAAAATCACTGAACAAAGATACCGAAACGCTACGTTTCGCGTTTTCTCCCGTTTCCATCTGTTGCTTCGCCTTTGTCTGTAATTCTGTATCCCCACACCCTCTCTCTCCATCTCCACGCTGCGTGCGTCTCTATCTCCCCTTCAACTGGCTCGGCTACGCAGAGAGAAACCGGACGAACAATTATCGCGAGAGTAGGAACGCCGAGCTCGTTCCAGGAACCTGAACGGCTGCTCTCTTCTTTTCCGGCTTGATTCGGACTTGACGATTACGGAAACTCCATTGGAATGTCATTTTTGCTCTCCTCGTTCTGCAACTCCGGCCACCTTGTCGATCCCCATTATTTGCCGCGGAATTAGAAGCAGTTGGCGTAGACACTTGGCAGTTGGCACTGTAAAACCCTAGCAGGTTTTGATTTTCCGTTTCAGCTTTGGAACTTCGTTGAAGGTACTCGCCAGCAATCTCTTCATTGTGATCGTTTTCCCTGTTTAGAATGTCCGGGGGATTTTATGTTGTAGTGAGAACTGATATGTTGGTTGGTTTGCATGAGATCACCATATAGGATGCTTGGCGCTAATTTTCCTTGCGAATTTCGGTGTTGCCCTGTGACAGGGGGAGAGTAGCGAGGGAGTTGAATTAGGGTTTGCTGTTATTTCGGAGGAATGCATTTGGATTATTGCTCTGGCATTGGAGACAAAGAGGAGGGCATTCTGGTTTCTGGAAACCTACCGTCTCTGTGATCGATTGGTTTGCACATGGCAGAAGGTTAGGTACTGTCCAGAAACTTCTTTAGCTGTTTCATTGGTCGATTCAGTCGTCAGGTTATAAGAAATATACCATGCCATTGTTTGATTTGTGGACTTTTGAGTCTTCGATCTCGGATATTTTCAGTTCTTCTGGGAAATCCATGCTTGTGGTGTAATGTGATTTTCGGTCCTTATTGCTGTGCGATTCCGGCTGTGTTGTTTAGAAGGATGGCAGCGCAGTGTCATTATTGAAATTTTATGATAACTGAAGTTGCCTATTTCGCAATTCATGCAAACACACTCTTAATGAACTACTGTAGCAAGACTGTCTGCTCTCCCTCTTAAGTTATAAAATTCAAATGTTGATTGAACCTTCTTTTCTTTTTCTTTTTTTGCTGAAAATAATTGCTATTAGTTAGTTATAAATTTTAACCTCTAGACAACGGGTTTGAACAATTATGTTGAAAGAAACTCTTCTATCCGTGATTCTCCAACTGCAGGATTAACCTCTGATATTTTGAGTGGGCACAAAAATGATAGAAACGGAGTCTGAACTGATTATAGCTGTGCATTGGTTTACTACGTGCTTGATGTTCTTTTCCAATTTTCAGGATTGCGAAAAATGGCACTTCAGAAGTACATTCCTTTGCGCAATACACCACCTGCCAACAGTATGAAGCCCTTGAGCTTTCCTGGCAAGGGTTATGAGAAAGCTCATCTGCCAGATACTGTCACTCGATGTACTTCAGAGCAAGATGTTGATATTGACCTTAGGGAAGTTTATTTTTTAATCATGCATTTTCTCTCTACTGGTCCATGCCAGAGAACTTATGACCAGCTATGGAATGAACTTCTAGAGAATCAACTTTTACCCAGAAGGTACCATGCTTGGTATTCTAGGAGTGGAGTGCATAGCATGAAAGAAAATGATGATGGTCTATCGTTTCCTCTAAGTTATGGTGATTTGGCAGAGAGGTAAGTTGATAATAGTCTGGAGCTGAATCTTTTTCCTGTGAATATCACCTTATAGTTTTCCAATCACATAAATCATTATTCATCGTGCTGCAACTCAACTCTATTGTTGTTATTAGGTACAAGCACATTGAGAAGGACCATCTGGTGAACCTCTTGAAACAGCTTTTACTCAACACAGCATCATCTACACAAGGCTTGTTTGGCGAAAATTCTCTGAATGCTTCTGCTGTTCCTACTCTTCTGGGAACTGGATCCTTTTCGCTTATGAGCCGTAGGTGACATTTATTTATAATCCAAGATTATCCTCAACCTCCTAGATATAGCAAATTATTGCTCTACCTAGCATGTTCCCCTGGATATTCTGTTAATGGTTATCTGAGATAAATATTCCCGTGGGCCCCTCTATTTCAGATGAGAGAGATAAGGGATATGCTCAAGCCAAGTGTCCTGGTCACATGCGATGGCCTCACATGCTTGCTGATCAGGTCCGTGGTCTAAGTTTGAGGGAAATTGGAGGCGGCTTTACAAGACACCACCGTGCACCTGCTATTCGTGCTGCTAGTTATGCTATTGCAAAGCCATCAACAATGGTGCAGAAAATGCAGAACATTAAAAGGTTGCGGGGCCATCGGAACGCAGTGTATTGTGGTACGTATTTATTAGGACGAAGCTTCCTTTTCTTATTGCCTGGTTTATTTGGAAATAACTTGTTAAAGCAATATCTAAGCTCAATTATTTTAATTTAACGTCTGAACCCTTTCGTCTGTGAATAATGCAGCAATATTTGATCGATTAGGAAGATATGTGATTACTGGTTCAGATGATCGCCTTGTCAAAATTTGGTCTATGGAAACTGCATTCTGTTTAGCCAGCTGCCGTGGACACGAAGTGAGTATGCATGGGCCATGGAGCAACATATGTTCATTGTTATCCAATTACTTTGTGTACTATAACTCTCATGCATTCTGCGATTCACATTATAATAGGGGGATATTACGGACTTGGCAGTCAGTTCCAACAATGTGTTGGTGGCATCTTCATCTAATGATTTTGTAATTCGCATTGTGAGCTTCTTCACCCTATTGTAAACAATTATATAATGTGAATTGATCTATTTGCTCTACTTGATCTTTAAGATTTAATTATCTGTGGTTTAACAGTGGCGTCTACCAGATGGATTGCCAATATCAATTTTGCGTGGCCATACTGGAGCTGTTACTGCCATTGCATTTAGTCCTAGGCCTGGATCTGTTTACCAGCTTCTATCGTAAGTTTTTTTTTTATATATAATTATAGTGGCTCCTTTGCTGTAAATAGTTGATACCCAGTCCATAACTATTATCTAGCTGTGTGCTTCTATGTGCATTTGTGTCAAATCTGTGCCCTTGGAACAAACTAATATGAATCCTAGCCTCGTACTCTGTTGTTTACATTTACAATGTTGAATATTTGTTTTTTGTTTTTGTCTGGGATATGTCAATGTACATGTTAAAGGTTGCGCTGGATGGTAACCTGTTATAGTCCCTGTGAGACTGAACTGATCGTTCTCGACATAAAAAGCCTAGAATGATGTTAATTCCACCAAATTAATTTCTCGTAATTGAAGGGGAGCCTTAATACATAAATCATACGGAAGTGCTCAGACTTGTAAAGTATTTGCTTCTTGCTAGGCTTAAAATTGAAATTCAGGCTGCGATCTGGATTCTGGAGTAGTTAATTCAAATTATGATCTTTGGTCACTATAACTTTGCTTGCTGTAATGTTTGATATGTCAGCAAATACACTCATATGTTATTTTATATCAGGGGGGAATTAATTTTGATACCGATACATTTGGAAGATCTTTTTTTTTATTGTCTTTGTAGTAAGGATGCTTCCCTGTTCTGTTATAGGTCTTCTGATGACGGCACATGTAGGATATGGGATTCTAGGTCATCCGTAATCAGTCCACGAGTGTATGCCCCCAGGCCGTCAGATTCTGCAGCTGGTTAGTACTGCTGGGTCATTTTTTGTTGAATAACTTTTTGTTGAAAGAACTTACAGATTTTTGCAATGGCTCTGCAGGAAAGAACAATGGTCCTTCATCAAGCACTAATCCACCAATCCATCAGATCTTTTGCTGTTCATTTAATGCTAGTGGAACTGTATTCGTCACTGGTAGCTCTGATAATTTTGCCAGGGTATTGTTTGAACTTCCGTGCCATATCCAATGTCCACTATCCAATAAGCATTGATTACTTAGGGATTGGACCCACCAAGTAATCTGTTTCAAATCCATTTATTGTCGAACTGTACTTCTCATCAGCGTTAACAGTTTTGCTAGGGTAAAGATCAGCATCCTTGTTTTCATGTTATGGTTTCTTGGACTGATCAAATTTAACTGTGGATTCTAAGATGCCATTGATAAAAAATTGCTGATGTCAGAACAGTATTATTGATTGTCAAAATGAATGTCCCTGAACATCCACATCAACAAAAGAAAAACAAGTGATTCTTGGGAATCATTTTAGTTCTCAATTCCTCATTGTAACCCGTACAGACACCACTCATTGTTTTAATGATAATTCATGTTTATTGAGAAAAAGAAGCGAGTAGAAGACTATCCATGAATGCATTTGTCTGTTATCTGTTATTAAGTGCTAGACCCTTGCAGGTGTGGAATGCTTGTAAACCCAACACGGACGATTCGGACCAACCCATTCATGAGATGGACGTATTGGCTGGCCATGAGAATGATGTTAATTATGTTCAATTTAGGTATGTCTTTTTTTGCTGATAAATACAATCTGAATAGTTGGGAATGATGACCTGTAGTTCTGCATTGTTTTTCCAGTGGTTGTGCAGTGGCTTCTGGGTTTTCTCTAACTGACTTTTCAAAGGAAGAGAATATTCCTAAATTTAGAAACTCATGGTTTGTTGACTTATCCTCACTATTTACTTTTTTCGTTTATTACTTAATGGGTGTATCTCCACTTTGTCTCTAGTTACTGGGTAATATTTTTATCTCTCCAGGTTTTCCCAAGACAACATTGTGACCTGTTCTCGAGATGGCAGTGCAATAATTTGGATTCCAAGATCTCGTAGATATCATGTGAGGTTCTTTTTTTTATGAAACCATGTGAGGTTCTTATTTTCAGCAACTGTGTGTTTTATTATATGTGCATATCTCTTTCTGGTGCTATGTTCTTGTATTCTTTTATTTTCCGAAAGTGGTAAACTGGTTGATTTATCTGCGTTATGCATTCAGTTGGAGCCAACTAGTTTATTGGAAGTTTTCCTCTATTTTTGAGCAACTTATTTCTTTTCTAGGGAAAAGCTGGCCGCTGGACACGAGCATATCACCTTAAAGTCCCTCCTCCCCCAATGCCTCCTCAGCCAGCACGAGGAGGCCCACGACAGAGAATGCTTCCTACACCACGTGGTGTAAACATGATTGTGTGGAGCCTTGATAATCGTTTTGTCCTCGCTGCTATCATGGGTAATAATCTTATATATGTGGCAGGAGGTGCTCTCCAATAGATAGACCATGATGTTTATTTTAGAGGTGGGAGAGGTGAAGGGGGTGTGGGAGAGTATGGTTCCGGAACTTGCTTCAAAAGTCCTTTATGAAATAGCATTTGGCGGAGTTTTTGTTCAATCGTTGCCATTGTTCATGCATCATGAGCAGGCTGTCTGCTGTCATTAGTCCATGCATTTAGAGCCCCAGTATGCATTTTACAAATTTGTTTTACGAACTGCGTTTACAACATCTCCTCACTTTTTTGTGAACTGCTAATATCTTGGCCTTATCATGTGTATGTTTTGATGCAGATTGCAGAATATGCGTGTGGAATGCATCTGATGGTAGCTTGGTACATTCATTGACTGGTCACACTGATTCTGTAAGTAGTTTATCCTTGGATATAACTACTACCTTTTATGGTTTGTAATTGTAGCTCATGCTTTCTGGTTGATATGCAATGCTGAAGTGTGACCAGTCGATGAAACCTTTATGCAATATAGGCCAGTCGGAAATTGGGGTAGTCTTAGCCCTGATTCTCTACAAGGTAATGAAGGCGATGAGAGTTTGAAAAGTAGGATAAAGCTAGAAAAAGGTGAAGGTAGTATTCTTCCATAGGAATAAGTGAATTTAGCTTTTGGCCTGTTAGCCATGTATACTATAATATCTGAGACATGCCTCTAAATTGGTCTTTACCAGTAGCAGACCCCAGTTCTGCGTGTTGCATTAGAATGCCATGTGATTTGAGCCTTTTAAAATCAACTTCTGTGGCACCAGTAATGATGTACTGTCTCCACAATAGAGGCATATTTTGCGTTTTGAGTAACAATTGTTGGTCGTCCTTACATTCTGCTAACAGTTTTCCATGATGTTTAAGGCAGTAACGATTGTAGCCTTGAATGTGTTTGCAGACATATGTGCTGGATGTTCACCCTTTCAACCCGCGCATTGCGATGAGTGCTGGCTATGATGGAAGGACTATAGTTTGGGATGTGAGTTCCCATTTGTAGCCTTTGCTGACTTCCCTGACACTCCCACCCTTTTCTTCCCTGCCATAAGAGTGATAATCTTTTTTTGTGTTTCAAGATCTGGGAGGGCAAGCCAATCCGAACATATGAAATTTCACACTTCAAGTTAGTTGATGGGAAGTTTTCTCCGTAAGTCAAATTTCTTGGTATTTTCTCTTTTTCATAACAATTTGGCTTGTTGCTATTGTTTTTCATTGCTGTGTGTTTGATTTTGGACTCTTAATTTGGATATCTTTGATTTGCTTATGATCCAACATGTCATTGAAACATAATTAGCTCTGGACTAACATCTTCTAAATTTTGAATGGCTCATTACGAAACAAAAATCAAGTATCTAGGATTCAGAAAGCCCAAGCCAGACTGGGCAAATCAATAACAGTAACTTACTCTTGCCAGTATTTGCTTGATTCCCTGTATTTTTGTCACTATGGGATATTCTCTTTGATGATAGGGATGGAACTTCCATTATACTTTCGGATGATGTTGGTCAATTGTATATACTAAACACGGGTCAAGGCGAGTCCCAAAAGGATTCCAAGTATGACCAGGTACCAAATGCTATAGATGATATTTTGTTTGCTGTTGGATATGTATTTAAAAATTTATACTATTTTATATAAAAATATTTTGCTTGCAGTTCTTCCTTGGTGATTATCGGCCCCTGATTCAAGATACTTACGGAAATGTGGTTGATCAGGTATGCTGGTACCTCTTCATTAGCATATTCACACATGTGGCAGTTTGTGACACCGTTACAATGATCACTTGGAGTTTAGTATTTTCATGTTCTCTACAGTGAGATTTGATATCAACTTCAATTACTGGAAACTTTGATCATGGGGTCAATAGTGGCTGGTCTTTCTACATTCAACTGATTGGTTTTATTCTAGAGCCCCTTTGTAAATATGTGTATTGTGATCCTCTGCTTTGGCCTAATTCTAATTTATAAATGCCATTGTTCAGGAAACTCAGTTGGTACCATACAGGCGAAATATGCAGGATCTTCTGTGCGACTCAGGTATACTACTTTGAATTTGGCAACAGTATATCTCAACTTTTATCCAAAAAGATTGATTTTGTATCTATCTTGTTTTGCAACTGCTAGGCATGATCCCTTATGAAGAACCGTACCAGAGCATTTACCAAAAGAGGCGATTAGGAGCTCTGGGCTTGGAGTGGAAACCATCACTTGTGAAATTTGCCATTGGGCCCGACTTCAGTCTCGACCCAGATTACCATATATTACCCTTGGCTGACTTGGATCTGCCCATGGAGCCACTTCCTGAATTTGTTGATGTTATCGATTGGGAACCAGTACACCAAATGCAGAGCGACGATGCTGATTCTGAGTACAATGTCCCTGATGAATATTCTTCTGGAGGCGAGCAGGGGAGTTTGAATTCTTTCTCCTCTGGAGATCCAGAATGTAGTTCAGATGACAGTATGGATGAGTGCAGAGATGATTTCCGTCAGTCCAAGAAGAAAAAACACCGGGCTGAAGTACGTATCTTCAAGCTGTTGTGTTTGGCCATCTATTTTTAGGGGTGGCTAACCAGTTTTGTTTTTTCTGTTTAACCAGAATCCAAAACCATAATACAACGAAACCATAATATAACGTAAAACCAAAAAGCAACAAAAAGTTATTGAAATAAATCACTAGCAAAAGTTATATCCATCAAGTTTGTATAAGTTATTCTGCTATCCGTATGGAGTTTTCTTTTATGAACACTGTCCGTAGTATTGGTTTTGGCCTCTTAGTTAAAAGCTTTGTCTCTGTTTGAAATGAACACATCCTTGGTAGGCGTTGGTTATCAATTTTTCAGTTTGGTTAACTGTTTTGGACCAGTTAACCACCCCCTATCTTTTCTGTTGCATGTTTGACGCGAAAAACCTTGTACTGTTTACTTCACTGCAGATTGAGGTGACGACTTCTTCTGGAAGACGTATCAAGAGGAGGAATTTGGATGCTTGTGATGTAAATACATTGAGAATCAGCCGTAGTAGTAGGAAACCACACATTGTCCGCAAAACTAAGAAGAAAAAGTCCTCCAAATCTAATGCATTGATGAGACCTCAAAGAAAGCAAAGAGCTGCCGCTCAGCAGGCTCGTGACTTGTTAATCAAGGTAACAGCTGAAGATGCCGACGAAGATGAAGAATATTTATCTACTGGCGATGCATCGGATGGTGAGTCAACTGAGCATTCCGACATGGAGAGTGATGAATCAGAAATGTCATTGAGGAGCGATCGCATGAGGTACTTAAAAGGGAAGGCTTTGGCTGTGTCTGAAGATAGACCTCCTAAGGTTCACGAATCTCATCCAAATATTGCAATCAGGAAGAAATTGGTTCTTAAATTTCCAGTTCGTGATTCTAGTAAGATTACGGTGATGCCAGAGAATGGTGATTATGTCGGATCAACATCTTATGCCCCAGAGAAAGCCATGGAGGTCAACAACACTCGTGTAAGCTCTCTAGTTCCAGGGTACTCTTCTGATGAAGAACAGACAAACTATCATGACTGTGCCCAGGCTGAAAATCTTAAGAATGGGGATATCAGGTGGGGAGGTGCCAAGGCTCGTTCGTCCAAGCGTCAAAGATTGGGTGAAACCTCATCATTACCTCCACCTACCAAATGCATATTGCGTCTACCCAATATCAAAGAAAAAGACACCAGTACTGTTAATGGGTACCTGAGCACTCCTGAGAACCATGAAGATAAGACTGACGACTTGTCACCAGTGGTTGGTCAAAACATTGAATTTGATTCATCTGAGGTATCAAATAATGGGCTCAACCAGGACCAGCCAATCGTCGTCACAAATGGAAACAATGATGAAGTGCCAGGTGTTGCTCACTTCGAAAATGATAATCTGCTGGAACTCAAAGAGAGCAGTCTGCCTGCCCCAACAAGGTTACGAATAAAGTTGAAACCTTTGACGATGGCGTCACCTGGAAGGCCTGCGGAGATAAAGCAGGACCCAGACCTGGTAGAAGCCAATGGTAGAACGAGTTCAGAATATTATGACGGTGTTGCAGTCCAGGGGTCAGGTGATCATGCTGACGAGAATTCTGCACCGACATTGGATGATTCATCAGCAGGTGCTGATTCACGCCCTAAAAGGATGTATACTGCCGTTTATAGAAGATCAAAGTCAGTTAGGAATAGAGCTAACTCGGAATGTGACAGTGGCATGAAAGAGAGTACATCAAACCCCAGTGATGATGTCAGCGGTAGTAGAACGGAGATGCTTACCAACGGAGTCCGTAGGACACGATCCATGGGAATAATAATTGCGAAAGAAGACCCCAAGATTTTGCAGAGTGATGAGCATGAGTTGGAGAATGCATATAGAGATTCCTCCAATGATCCTATTGACAGGCGGCAAATGCCATCTCAAGAATGGGGTTCGAGCGCCAGGTCAACCGTCAGAGTCAGATCTGCTAGGAATAGGAGAACCGATTACAGTTTTCATGAGACAGTTCAGCAATCAGCTGAGCCAGTATCTTGGTTAGTGCTGCCAAAGCACGAGGAAGGATCTCGCTATATCCCTCAACTAGGTGATGAAATAGCATATTTGAGACAGGTACGTATTTTTTCATTTATCAGTAGTCAGTACCTTAGATTTATTCCATTAGCAAAGTTATATATCCTAGTGAGTCCATTGTTCAAGAAAATGAGCACTGAGATGGAATATAGCAGTAGTATGATCACTAAAAAGTAAAAACTACCGATTAAGTTAAAAAGAGGGGCGAAAGCATCAGGTTTCTAGAGCTTGTCAATTGTCATTGGACCTGGTGACATTGTGCTTCATCATCCCGGTGAACTATTCTGTGGCTCCATTAGATTCAATTCGACACTTGTTGGTTCATCCAGTTTGTCTAATAATCAACTTCTCAATCAAATTATCCCTTTAATTTCTTCTTTTTCACCATTTTGTCCTCTTAAACCTCCTAAAGAACGTGGGCTATTTTAGACATGACACGACTATCATATATTTAATGATGTCATGTACCTAAAAAATCAACAAATAGGAGGGATCGTTTATTCATCGTCAGAATTGTTCGTTTATATTAACAACATTTCACAAACACTTCAACTTCTACAATTTGCTTCCGCTGACAACTTATTCAATAGACCATTTACCATTTAGATCGAACATTACAGTACTTTAATATTAATATTCTCGTAAGCTTCTGTTTTGTAGGGCCATCAGGAGTACATGGAAGGTTCTCGAACAAAAGAGGTTGGGCCATGGAAGAATGTAAAAGGGGGATTTATTAAGGCAGTTGAGTTTTGCAGAGTTGAAAGCCTAGATTACGCCACGCTACCTGGTTCTGGGGATAGTTGCTGTAAACTGATGCTTAGATTTGTAGATCCAACATCTGATGTCTATAACAAAACATTCAGATTGACTCTCCCTGAACTTACAGCCTTCCCTGATTTCCTTGTCGAAAGAAGTAGATATGAGGCTTCTTTGCAGAGGAATTGGACGAAAAGAGATAGGTGTAAGGTATGGTGGAATGACAATGAAGTACAAGGCCAATGGTGGGATGGCCGGATCCTTGGTGTACAGCCGAAATCGTCTGAATTTCCCGACAGCCCATGGGAGAGATATACCATAAGGTACAAGGACGACCCTCATGGGAACCATCTCCACAGTCCCTGGGAGCTTTCAGAAAGTAAAGGAGATGATATTCAATGGGAGCAGCCCCATATTGATGATGAGACAACAGTTGGCCTGCTGTCTGCCTTGGAAGAATTGGAGCGACCAGGGAATAAAGCAAAGGTAACAGCCATGCTAGAAGAGTAAGAGAGCTTGATCAAATTCTTTCTGGGTAATGTCGGTTTCTTATTGCTTTATAAATGTTTCAGGATCAATACGGTGTTCGAAAGTTAAGTGAGATAGCGCAGAAATCCAACTTCATAAACAGGTAAGTTTTTCCCCCCACCGTCCTCATACATTTATGTTCTTCTGGCACTAACAGGGGTGAATCTAAATCTAAGATCATTATCAGTTAGATTGGTTTCTACTGCTTGAATTATTATTGTGTAACCAAACTGCAAAATCATTTCCTCAGGTTTCCAGTTCCCATTTCTCTCGATTTAATCAAGGCAAGGTTGGAAAACAACTATTACCGAAGTTTGGAGGCATTTCAGCATGACATTGAAGTCATGTTATCAAATGCCAAATTATACATTGGAAAGAATCCAGAGTACTCCAAAAAAATGAATCGCCTTTCAGACCGGCTAAGGAAGGCATTAGGGTAGATACAGGAGGGTAGAACCGGCGCTAGGTGCTTCCTTTCTTTCACTTCTGTAGATAATTTTTTTTTTTTTTTTGTTTCTAATTATAATTTATGATTTGTTTTACTGGGGCTCTTTGATTCAGTTTTGGGATTAGTTATTGTGCTCCTTTAGCTCTTGAGGAATTCGGGGGTAGATGCCTTAGGTTGATGGAAGCCAGGTGACTTTGTATTAGGTGGAAAGTTCTTCGATGGAAGATCATAAAAAGCTGAAGATTTGAGCCGGGAACTGCTCTTGCCATCAGATGCACCACAACACAGGTAAGTACAGGTGCTAAAAGATTCATTTATTTGCTGATTTCAACACTTCACAAGATGCCAACTAACTACTTGTTGCGGAAGTTGCAAGTTGAAAAGGAAATAATGGCCATATATATAATAAGAACTCGGACTCGGTGTCACTCATGTGCCCAGATTTCGTGAAAGGCAAATGTCTTACTTACTTTTTTGCCTAATAGGCAATTCTCAAATGGGTGTATTTAATGGCCCCGTTGTATTCTAAGCCAGGTTATTAGAGGAATTTTACAATGATATATAGCATTGGTGCTATAGGTTTTTATCTTTATGGTACAATTTGAAATTGTACTTTTAATGTTATGGTACAATTTCATATTGTACCTATATTTTTTTCATATTGTACCTATACTTTTTGTACAAATTCTTTTATGGTAAACTTAAACTTATACCTTATGTGATGGTACAACTTCAAGTTGTAAAGTTGTATCATAACATAATGATACAAATTCCTTTATGGTACAACCTAAACTTGTACATTTAATGTTATGGTACAACTTCAAGTTGTACATTAAAGCACCAATACTATATACTATAGTAGAAGTGCTCAGGTTATTATTGTTGCTCGATGTGCAATATTATGCTTTATTTAAGCCTGCTCGAATCATCAAAAGGTGTTTGTCCTTTTGAAGGTACTTGTTCATGTGCTCTCCAAGGGGCCGTTTGCTTGTAGGATTTTGATGAGCGATTTTGTCCCAAAATCTCATGACCAAATCCATGTTTCTTGAGGTTGGACCATATCCGTGAGGCCCATAAATGTGAGATTTTTGTGGCTCAAAATCTGGGAGATTATAGAATCCCAACCCATTAGTTAAGATTTTGAGAATTGCCAAAATTCGTTGACCTCACTAATTATGAATGACTAAAGTAATCCATAAATCCAAGATAATAAAGTCCATTTTGAACTCCAACAAGCAAATATTCAATTTTTAAAATCCAACACAAATCCAACATAAACCTTCTACCCAAATCCTTCATTTTTAACGACCTCTAAAGGGGATTTTGGGGATTTAAGTCCATACTTGGACCACTAAAGGTGCTTAAGAGGGCCGCAAAGCACTATTTTGCTACTCAGCCTATTTCTTGCAAATGAGAGGCATCAAATATGCACCACGAGTAAATACACCCTAAAAAGCATTAATTGGCTTCTGAAAGGCCGTATCAAGCCCAAATCCGACCCACAAAAGGCTACACTAGAATACATTCCACCGCAGCAAGAAACTCTTTGAACTCCACAGCAAGCCTGACATTGGAAAACATACACCGCAATCCTTCCCAGCGCCTCAATCTCTCCAGCGATGCCCACAATTTGGGTTGCAACAGACGAAGAACAACGTCATACCTTCCTCTCCTCTGGCCGTTGCCTGCATTCAGAATTTTTTAGCAGTGTAAATTCATATCTATATGTTTTGTACAACATCACTAACTTTGTGGAAGATCCTTTTAAGACACCCATTTGCGTGTCCATGTGCAAAAAAGGAAAACCTCTGCAACAAGTGAAACCTACAAAGAGGGTGTAGAAATAACAGTACAACAATTAAAAGACAAGCATAAGATAAGCAATGCAGGCTCAGAGCTCCTTTTGTGCAGTCCATTCATAATAACTAGTCGCTAGGAGTGCATCCAAAAATAGGATGCAGGTTATGGGGTTCAAGCAACTGAAATAGGACCAAAGGGGATACAACTAGTATCTGGAATTGGAGCATCTTTGCTCGTGTAGACGAAACAGATGCACAACTGTGACAAACCCTTCTAAGTTTCATTCATGCATGTTTTCAGCTGAAGCCTGACATCTCTGGATGCGGTATACCTGTGGGCATGATTTCAGCCTAGCTACTATATTTCCAGATCTAGCCACTGAAAGTAAGCTGTTCATGAAATATATCCTCTTCCTTATGGCCTGTAAGTGGCTAAGAGGTACTCAAAGTACCCACTCAGACAGCAAGGACTTACAAGACCTCCTAGCTATACTTTTAGACCACAATCAAAACAAAAGGAAACAAAAAAAGGAATCTGAAATAAGCATATGTGCGGCCTACTAGGCAACATGTCACTGTAACTAGATACAACTTAGATAACCTGTCAAAATGTGTCACACAACCTTGAAAACTGATGGCAGCAATGTCATTCCATTTAAAAATTATTCAGAAAAAGTTGAATGGAATAGATAGAGAAAGTAGGTGCAAAAGGATGCAGCTAATGTGATCATATTTTGGTAAAGCAGAACATAATGAATATTAAACTCCTGATAGAAAACAAGCAAGCCCGATATTCCTCTCAACTCCTTTTTCATTTCGAAATATATTCATCACTAGGATGGATAACACATGGCCGACTAGTCTAATGTGCTATAGTTGGTACGCAATATTTCAGCCCAGTTGCGTGATCCCTCACAATGAAGAGAATATGGTGTTCATGAAGCATAATTTTCCATATGGAATGCAAGATGCACAAATACAGATATCTAGAACGTAACCACAAGTTTTAATAGCACGTTAATTCCTACGCAGACATGTAAAGACTTGAAACACTTATAGCACACCAATCAGCTAATATTTTAGTCTACATCCGGAGGAAAAATGATACAGAAAAGGAAACTACAGGAGAGCAACTACATTGTTATGATTTCTGTAAAAATTCATGGAACCATAGTCAGGATCGAAAACTAACCTGGAAAAACACAGCTTCGTGATGCTTACACTCAGCACATTGAACATCTTTAGTGCGAGGGAGAGTAGGATCTGCAGCTACATCTTGCAATACCTGGGTGCGTTCTGCTGCAGAGTGATGCACCTCATTCCTATAAACACAGTAGTTTTCTGCAACTTCCTGCAATATGTTCAAAGTATAACAGATATCTGAGTAACACATCTAAACTTCTAATACATTGGGAGATTGCAATAAAAACAAAACTGCTAACACAATTATAAAGGGATAAACAAGAAACTACCAAATATGCCAATGAATCATTCTTTGGTCCCATGCAGTAATGACTAAAATGTTATACCTTGTACCATATGACTGTATGTAAGAGAGATGTCCATGGAAAAACTAAAACCAAAAGGTAAACTGACAGCGAACTTCTTGCTCAAATACCAAATGAGCAACCAGTCACGACAAGGGCCATCAGGAATATCAGATGATGAAGCATTAACAAGAGAAGTCAGCCCGAGAAAGAAAAAAACAAAATCAAGATGAAACCACGCAACTCTTCTGCATTCGGACTAAAAAACAATTAATGAATAATGAGAGACTTCTACTCCATTTTCACAAAGCACAACGCCAGCTTCTGTTGTGCCTTTGGTAATCAAAGCTCAAATCCATTTACATAAAATCTTGTTCACTATGTAACAGAGCACAGACAGATCATACCTCTAAATAGAGAGGTCATGCCATTAGGGTTCTAGAGCCTAAATCTAATATATATAATACAGTTTCTATGAAAGGAAAGAAAATCCTTAAATTACGATCTACCGACTTAGAACAGCTAGAAATGCAACAAAAGCAAAGATAGAAGTACAACCGCGCACCTCTTCTTTCCCATTCAACCTAGAACAAAATGTAGGAGTACATCCTACAACACTCTAACGCAGCACACATTCAATGTGCGCTCTGCTTTTTCAACTCACATGCATTATCACATCTGAAACACCTCCAGCAACGCATTTACCACTCGATCGAACTGTCCAAAACCCTAGCATTTCATACAGGACGGGAAGAACAGAAATGGACGCGTAAACGAGAGACGAAAGGGAGAATCAGGAGACGGTACCTGGTGGTCGCAGTTCCGACAAGCGTAGAGGAGCAACTTCTGATCCCTGTCCTCCTTAGGGTAAAGAATGTTGTTGCTGCATCAAAGAAATTCCAGAGAAGTAGAAAAACTTGACAACGGTTTCTGCTACCGAGAATGAAGAAGCGAAAGGAAGAAGCGAGAAGAGAGCTTACCATTCGCGGCAGAATTTCATGGTACTCATCTTTGCGGAACTTCTGAAAGTTGCAGAGAGACGAAGAGAGGCGACTGCAGAGAATCGAGCGTTTTGGCGGGATGGCAGAGGAACTTCGGTACTTTCACCTCCGTCGACTCCAGTGGGCGAGTGGGAATAATGTGGTGAGAGTAATGACTGGTCACTAGTAGGGTAGGCAACGATTTGGTTCACATCAGTCAGAATCGGACCGAATCCACTCTTATATCGAATCGATCTTTCATCTTTCTATTTGATTTAAGTTTCTGAATTTGGGAAGTTTTTGGTTTTGGTACGATCTGGACCAAAATCGTAAAATCAAACTAGGGACCGGACCGTAACTAAATTAATTATCTATTATATTATGCTCCTAAAAGGCAAGTCAACTTGGAGTTGAAAACCCTAGTACCCTACACGACACTTAACTACTTATAAATATGATTTACTTTCCCCTGACTTAGACTCACGCCGCTCCTCTAGTCCTACCCTCGAATCGGTATTCTGATCGGCGTTACTTCGATCAAGTCTAAGTGAGAGTTGCTTACTTCACTTATGTGTTGTCAACTGGGTATGAATATGACCAGTTGATAATAAACCTTCTATCATTCATGTGTTTTTACATGAATTGTGGAGTATTTAAATGGGGATAATTTGATTACTTCTTTTTTGTTTAGTATTTTTTTTTTTTAATTTTTGTATTGTCCTTTAAGAGTAATTTTATTCGAATGGTAGGATTAGTTGGTCTAATGGGATGGTCCAGACCGAATCAAACAATATATGGTTTGATCCATACCAAATTGAAGAAATAAGGATTCGATTTTGATTCTTGATTTAGAAAATATTTTGATCCGGTCCGAAGATATTTTGCTCCGGTCTTGGACTGGATCGACCCATGCCCACCCTTAGTCACTACTCACTAGTGACTAAGCTACCCCATCCAGAAGTTTCTTTACTATCGCTGGATTTTCTAATATTAGGCCCAGACCCAACTCATCAGCATAAACATTAGTAAAAGCCCAAACGCCAAACCCCAATACACGTGACAAACTGCATTTGCTGATTAACGTCATCAGAACTTTATGATTGCTCGGACTATGGAATACGAAGGTCCGTGATTATCCCGTCAATATCTAGTCTCTACAACGACCCCAAAAGCAAAAACTGGAAAATTTCGTCCATAGTGTCACTATAAATCACAATAAGGATTTTAAGATAGACGATTTAGTTATTACTAAAGTCGAAGTCAATGAGGGTAGTACTGTAAAAAAACTAAAAGCTCAGGCTCGAGGAAGGAGTTATGTGATAAAAAGGCCAAGTTGTCATATACATATTGAATTGACAAACAAATCTTTCTATGAAAAATATAACGGGACGAGTTAGAAAGCTATTATAATCTTATTATAATGAAGAAACAACAAAAAAAATATGCTTAACAAAGCGGGTGGGTAAAAAAAACATTTCATGATTTGTATATATAGTGAGAGATTATGCGACAAAAAATAAATCCACTTGGGTTTAGACTTGGTACAACTCAAGGTCATCATTCACTTTGGTTTGCACAACCAAAAAATTATTCTGAAGGTCTACAAGAAGATCAAAAAATAAGAAATTGTATAAAGAATTATGTACAAAAAAATATGAAATTTTTTTCTGATGTTGAGGGAATTTCACGTATAGAGATTAAAAAATGAATCAAACGTGATTCAGGTCATAATATATATGGGATTTCCAAAATTATTAATAGAGGGTAAACCTAAAAAACTCGGAAAATTACAAAGGAATATCCAAAAAGAACTGAATTGTGTGAACCAAAAGATCAACATTACTATTACAAGAATCGAAAATCCTTACAGGCACCCTAATATTCTTGCAGAATTTATAGCCGAACAATTAAAAAATAGAGTGTCATTTCGCAAAGCAATGAAAAAAGCTATTGAATCAACCGAACAGACAGATACAAAAGGAATCGAGTCGCAACTCGCACGCATTCAAGAGGATTTCACCTCGAACTAATAAGAAATGTGCCTGTTAATAATGTCATCACTTGCAAGTGAATTCAAAGCATGAATATTACTTTTTGCACTCAAATTTATTCAAAGAAACGACATCAAAGGCGAGAAGCTCATAAGCATTCACCATACTAACTGGCACATTCAAATTCAAGAACACTGGCTGAGGAAGAGAACAACCAGGGGCGGACCTAGTAAGGGCCAGGGTGTGTCGTCTGACACACCCTCGTCCATAAATTTTGTGAATTACCTATATATTTTTTGTATAAATTCATCACTTGCAAGTGAATTCAAAGCATGAATATTACTTTCTGCACTCAAATTTCTTCAAAGCAACGACGTCAAAGGCGAGAAGCTCATAAGCATTCACCAAACTAACTGGCACATTCAAATTCAAGAACACTAGCTGAGGAAGAGAACAACCAGGGGTGAACCTAGTAAGGGCCAGGTGTGTCGTCAGACACACTCTCGCCCGAAAATTTTGTGAATTACCTATATTTTTTTTGTATAAATTGTTTTTAACTCGGGGCTTCCGACACACTTCAAATAATTGTGAGCGACACACCTTCATTATACGAGAATGATTTTCTTATTATAAAGTTATTTATCTTAATTAGTAATAAACAATAATAAGTAAAATCAAATAAATATATTTGTTTTAAAGTAACCCACAACACAACCTAACAATGAAAAAAATATACATAACCTCATCCTTTGAAACTTTCTGTTTCCACCCCTTGACCCTTCTTTTATTGAAAATAAAAAATAAAATAAAAAACTCATACTTACCTCTTTTTAGTTTCTAATTACCGAGACCCACTGCCACATCCCCTTTTCTTTTATCCTTTAGTTTACTTGCTCTTGAAGTTGGTGTTGACTTTACTTGTTGCAATTGCAAGGTGCGAAAGAGCATTTTTCAACGCTTCCTGTTGGATTTCTTCTTTCGTTTGTTGCTCCTATCCTCCTCAGATTCCGAGTATGAACCCGAGCCAGAATCAGAAGACTCCGAGGACGAGTTGTACCTCCTCCGCCTCAATCTCATCTTCTGTTTCTTCTTCCTCCTCCGCCCCTTCTCTTCCTCTGAATTCGAGGATGAACTGTAATCCTCCGAACTAATCTCAGCAGATGAACACTCTGACCCAGTAACCGACGAAGACTCACTATCACTCTCGAAAATAGAAGCCTCACTTTCACTGCCCGAATCAGAATCCAACCTATGCTTCTTCTTCTTCTTCTTCTTACCCTTCCCCTTCTCCTCCTCCTCTTTAGTCTCATGCAGGTCTTCCAAATCGTAAGATACCGAAACCTTCATCTTCAACTTGGGGTTTTTCAGTTGTTGGGTTCTGGACGGTCGCGCCATGTAAACCAGAGGCGGAGCCACTTGATCACTTGGGGTGCGTGCAACCCCCTTGCCGATTGGAAAAAAATCCCTCAGTATATATTGGCAACTTGTGATTCAAACAAGCGACAATGCATTAACATGTAGACTACTTTCTCATCTCAGCTAGGCAACATTCGTGTTATAAATCCTCTCCGGCTCTATTTATAATCTAGTCTTTCATAAGACCAACAACTAAACAAATTTTGCATCCCGCCTAACAATGGCAATTTGGACCCGCCCCGCGGGTATTACCTGACCTGACCCGCGATGGGACGGGTATTACCCGACCCGCAGTAACGTGGGGCGAGCTATGGGTATCTACTTTTGACCCGCTCTGCCACGTTCTTGGCCCATTCTATCTCAATTTTTTATCGAATTCGTCCATATTTCATTTATAAAGTATTGTCCCCTTCTTTTTATCGTAAAAAGTAAACTTTACGTGTATTTTTTTCAAATAACAATTAAGAATGGGTATACCCGCCCAGTATCCGCGCCCGCCTCGATCCGCAGTAGCGTGGGGCGGGGCATGGGAATTGAGGTACCCGCCCCGCCGTCCCATTGCCATCACTAATCCCGCCACTATCCCAGTGATAGACAACCATAGCGGGAAACGAGAGACGAGAGCTCTCCCCTAAAAAGCAATCCCACTGCAGCGCTGCAACAAGTCTCCTCGTCCAAGCTCCTTGTCCCCATGTCCGGCAAATATTTCGCAGGAGCTCAACTAGCATCGCCCACTGAATTCTGCTGGTGAGTATTCGACTCTTCGGAATGCGTTATGCAATTCTTTTAGAGAATATGAAATCTCGTGGGATGAATATATAGGATGAATGTTTGAAGAAATACCATCATCAGTTAAGTATATAAAATATAAAAATGTATACTTAATCTCATTTCATAATGATAATTAAGCACCCATTAAAATGCTATTGGTTAATTGATTGTCAGGAGAGATGGAGTATAAAAGCCCATTGGAATTCTAACACAACCTATAGTTAATTGGGTAGAAAATCAAAAAATACACGTTTTTAAAAAAATCCCAAAATACACACGTATTATGAAAAAAATTCTCAAATGTCATGATTTTTTTTTATTTCGCATAAATTTTGAAGAACTACAACTTTGATCATAACCATAATTTTGGAATGTACGTGAATTTGTGAAAAGTAAAGGCAAAGTTATTCCCAAAATCCCGTATACCAAAAAATATATCTTTTAAAAAAAAATCCTAGTAAAAGTTGTAGTTCTTAAACATTTATGCGCAATCACTTTTTTTTTATGACATTCGGATTGAGTAGCAAAAAGTTATGGCCTTTCAAAGTTTGGCAAAACCGAAAAATTGCTCGTTCGGAGTACCAAAGGATGGAGGCTTGTTGCAGATTGAAAGATCTAGAATAGTTATGCGAAATCAAACTTTTTTTCTTCTACAATCGGATAACCGAGCGCAAAGTTACGTTCATTTGAAGTTTCTGTGTTATGTTAGACATTCACTGCGACCGTCAACCGCGGTGATGCATTCACCGCTTTCGTCTGCCGCGATGAATGCATTCACTGCGGTTGACGACCGCAGGATGCCCAAACATGTGTATTTTGTGAATTTTTCATAAAAACATGTGTATTTTGGATTTGTTTTTTAAACATGTGGATTTTGGGATTTTTCCGATAATTGCAAACTAAAACTAAAATCTCATAATCCTACATAAAGGGTTCAATGCTCTACTTTTAGGAACAACATGCCACTAATTAAAAGAAATGGAGAGTTGTTGATTCAAGTCAACCATATACTAACAACTCAACTCAAAGGGGACCATCAAAAATTGAGCGCAAATGACAAAATTAGGGTTACCTCCAATATACTAATAGACTCGATCAAAGTAATATGACACAAAATTAGACACTCCTTATCTACCAGTTTCAGGACCTTAATTTTAATAAAGCAATCAATGATTCCTCATTTTGAGATAGACATAGGTTGTGGTAGCTGCAACAACCATAAACCTAAAGACCAATAGCCACTACTATCCGTTGTACAACCAACTTTTTATCCCCTCTATCTCCAATCTCAAGAGGCATTTGTTTCAACCCAAAATTCACTTTCTAATCCTTCTCCTGCAATTCTATTTCTGCTACTTTGATGGTCCTTCTCTCTGTGGCACTCAATTTCTATTCCAATTAGTGTTCTTGCCAACTCGCTCTTCAACTCCTCAATCCTTTTGTTGTATTTGGCCAACTCATCTTCCTTAGGGGCAGTTGTAATAAGATTGGTAAAACCAACCCTCATCTCCAATTCCATCAATATGCTCATATCCTCCTTGAGTGCCTTCACCTGCTCTAGTTCACTTCCATGCCCTTCAATACCCTCTCCATTTTCATTAATATCATCATCATCTCTCACTTCTCTCTCTTCAACTACTCCAATTTTGCTTCCATGTCTTTTGATATCCTCCTCAATTCGATCACTACCATTGCCAACTCCCTCTACTCCGCCTAGGGGTGGCTATTTGGACCGGGACCGGATTAAAAACCGGAAACCGGACCGTATAACCCGGACCGAGACCGGACCGGGACCGGATAGTAAACAATCCAATCCAATCTTTGGGTTTAGATTTGAGGTAAAAAACCGGATAAAGACCGGATAAGAGAGCTCAACACCCAAAACTTAAGGGTAATTTGCATAAACGGTCTCAAACCTTTGCACTTAGTACAAAACTTAACCAACTCCTCACCCTTTAAGGCCTTAGGCCACTCAAATCCCACAATCTCAATGTAAAATCAAGATCGAATTGGGACCGGACCCGATCAAGACCGGACCGTATCCAATCCAATCTTCGGTCCTTATATTTTCAAAAAGACCGAACTGGACCGGATCAATTTGGGCCAATTTAACCGGACCGGACCGTATAGCCACCCCTAACTCCGCCTTCACCTGATGTAGTTGAACTTTACTTGCTACCGAATTCAAACATAATTTCTTCCCCCGCTACTTCCCTTACCAAATCTAATCCCAACTCTTCTACTCCAAGTTCAAACCTCCACCTCCTAGAGTATTGTTGCGTGGAGACTTAACTTTAGCAATCATTATGGCTTGCAATTATATTGATGGACACTAAAAACATCAACAAAATCAACAGTATCTAACTAATCCTAAAACAATATCAAAATTTGATTGGTGAGCTGGACCATAAGAATCGAGACTGATGAAGAAAAATATGATTGCGGAGAACATTAGATATGACAAAATAAAATCTGAGTGGAAATATTTTACTTGAAAAAAGATAATGATGATCTTATTTTATTATTTCAATAGCTAACCAAAGAACTAAAGTAATACAACAAACAAACAACAACAAAGTAGATAGGGTGATAGTAAAGTACAATTGTCCCTGTTCTACACAAACATCTATTTGATTTCAAACAAACCGCTCAAATTTCTTTCCTATCATTTATATATCAATCACAAACAACTTAGATAAATTGGGAAGGAAATAATAGCCTACCAGATCAACTCAATGAACCTTCTATGAAGATAAAAGCCTCATTGAAGTTGAAACCTAAGAACATATAGAGGAGCAACGACGCAAGATCCATCGGGCTTCAAATATCGTATCGCGCAATAGGATCAAAAGAAATAGATCTTCTCCATGTTCTGCTCATGATACAACCTGAAAATAAAAGTCAATTTTGTTATTAATTAGAAAGATAAAACCATGAGACAAAGAGAAAAAAAAATAATGACTTACAAATGTGAAGCGATTAACCTTGGACGAAGATCTTTATTATGTTTGTCACAAAGATCAATGTTTTTGCTACAAATATGTATTTTGACTAAACTGAACCATACATATAATTTATTATTTAATGTTTGAATCAATGTTACTTGAGTTCTGATTTCACAATTGTCACTTTCTACAAGATATAACACTTTTAGGTAAAATACATTTCTTACTTGGTTGAAGAAGCTGATAATTCAATGTTTTAAGATTTTCTATTTCAAATTTTGTGATTTGAGAATGAAAGTAGGAAGAGTATTTTTGTCATCACAATTATTATCTACTTCATATGAAAAAGTATCAATATCAATATTTGAATAATGGTCTCTTCAAACAAAAATAATAATCACAACCAATTACACTAAACAAATTTATTTTATCTTCATAACTTGTAAACATGCACTAAACGAAAATTTGAAAAGCAGAGGACTTTTCAAGGTTAGCTAGCCTATTAAATCTTCTGAAAAGCAATGTTAATACATGATTTATCATTTTTATAACCTATAAAATGATGGGTAATCTTAAAATTACAACACAAATTTCATTGCTTGAAATATTGCATATTGAACTGCAGTATTGAATATGCAAAAGCGATGTAGAATTCTGTAAATTAATATGAATTTTCAGTACTAATACGAAACAATAATATTTTTTACAAACTATAAGTGACTGGTTCTCTAAAATTTTAGCCTGGTTAACTGTTAAACGTTAAACTCTTGCTAATCGGGCATGAATGGACCCGAGAATAATGAGACGATATCGAGTTTAATGTGATGTTCATTTCGTCAGTTTTGGATTGTATGTTTTGATCAATTTATAGGGCATTAACATAAAAATGAGTTATTATTAACCTCATTATACAATTTTTACTCTTTATAATAATTAATTTAATTTCAATATTTGTGATGTTTGAAATATTTTATGTATGATTTAGAGGTATAATTATTATTTGTGACATCAATTTTAGTTTATTAAAATGTAGTATTTCATCAAGTAGTCGAAATCTAATACTGAGTGCATTTATGACGGTTTTTATCTTGGTGTTGTGAATAGGTAGAAACTTAATTATTACAATGCATATAACTATACCTATGCATATGGTCAATCTAACCATGAAGACAATGTATATGGATCGGCCATGTACAAGCATGAATGCTTCATGGATCATACCAGACTTAAACTTCAAGGGCTCGCATACAAGTTCGAGCACCACACATTCAATATTGGTGAACTCATGTTTTATGGAGAAATGCGCCATTTGATACAAATAAAAGAAAAAATTCTAAAAACAACATATAAAATTTGAATTAATGAGTAGTTTCTCACATCAACGTGTGACGACTCATATTTTAAAAGATTTATAAAATACATTCATTGTTTATTTTGAGACTCAAACCTTTTTCAATGTATACAACAAAAAAATTCATTTATAAATTCATTCTTGATTAACTTAATAGTTGAAAAGTCGTTTTTTATATCTTGCAGTAATAACAAACAACGTATTCATAAAAAAAATAACAAACAATGCCAATAATAACTTTAGAAGCAAGTAAAGCGAAGAAGAAATTGTGATTTAGTATTTCTTTGCAAATGTGTGTGAGGGGGGAGGGAGGGATTTTTTTTTGTCTAAAAAATTTGAGAAAGGGTTGAAACTCATATATCATTTGTTTGAATATTGAATATTGCATATTGATTTGGAGTATTGAACATTTTTGAAACGATATATAATTCTTAAATTAGTATTAATTTTCAGCCCGTTTGACCAATAACCTTAGACCTTTTGCTAATCTGACATGGATTCAATAATCATAAGATGAGATTTAGTTTGATATGGCGTCGGTTCAAACCATTTTTTACGTGTAATGAATTTATACGACAAATACATATAAAGTGAAGATGAACCTGATTATGCATTTTGATTCTTTATATAAATACAATGGTTTAAGGCGTTAAGGATTGAAAGATCGTACGTACCGACGATTAGACCATAAACTTCACATCATAGGTTAAATCGATATGTGATATTTAACAATATGAAATGGTTGAACAACAGTTAAATTATAGCTTCAGTATAAGATACTCTACTACCAACATTTTTGATACGATGTTACAATCCTTTAATTCAAACAATTCTTTTACACTGGTGGAAACAAAGGTTTTAAGGCACATTTTGAACTATCTATTGCAAAAATACATAAGTCAGTTAGCGATAATGAGAATATGCGATTTCTTGCGACCCAAAAGACACTTCGCAACTTCTATATTTTAAAATAAATGTATGCCACTCATACCCTCAAGGCCTCAACTTAATGAGTAACATATATTTCATCTAATATTATTTTCATACGTTTTTATTTATTGAATTCTTTCATGAAAAAATATTTGTTGCATGAAAATTACTACATTGTTGCTAGACATGTCTACGATTTGAGAATAATTTGGGAAGTCCGTACACAACACATTATTCAACTAACTATTAGCGACAACTTAACATCATGTCTTCTATATTTCAAATCAAGCAACTTCAGATTCATTACCAACAATGTGGTAAAAAAAGAATACTCTCTATTGGAAAAAAGTTAAAGGACATACTAAACTCTATGAGACATTTTCTTTCATCCTAAAGGTTGATTATGTATGTATTATGAGAAGTAACTATAATATTCAACTATATGGTTTAATTAAGTAATGAATGACAATTAGTTATATACATTTTTTCATTCAATAATTATATGTAATGCTTATATTATATTTTTTTCTCTTTTCATGGAGCTGTAAACACATTATGCATAGTTGGATGACTTTCAAAAATGTTATGTGCAAATCTAAGATAGAAAACAATCATTTCATGCATTTCAAATCATCTATTATATCCATTATTATATACCATATTTCTCGACAAAATTCTTCCGGCCAACGGGCCGGGCTCTATGCTAGTTCAATGAAAATAGAAAAGAAAAAGAGAAGGAACAAACTACTACGAAGATAAAGGTTTCGTTAAAGAAGAAAAATGCATTGTACTTGATAGAGATGATGGTGCTTTGGAGGACGGAGGAGGAGCGATCACATGGAATCTAAAATGAAATTTGCAATAATTTGTTATAGCGAGGAGAAAATAGTGTAGTCTGATTGAATTTTTAGTACTCGATTTTCTTACCTAGCTTTGTTTTTTTACTTTCAATATGGACTTTAGCAAGATATTGGATTAGCATATTGAAAATTATACGAGTATCATATTTCCAATAACTAAATGATTTGAATTTTTTTATGGTGTATGAAATAAGAACATGTCTTGTCTTGGACAATGACTATGGTTATTTATGCTATTAACGAAATTCATCCGGCCAACAAGCGGACCCAAATTTAGTATTGTAAGATAAATTTGTCGTCGACTCTCTAACCAAGTTGGACCCTGGACACCCTTAGGTTGATCTTATTTTAGCTAATCTAAACTCTCTTTCTACGAATTTATGACTATTACAAATACAACAATTTGCATGAACATCGATTCCTCGATATATTTTTATGAATATTAGGATTTGGAATGCTTAGGGTTGGGCAATAATACGATTCACAAGAATTGAACCATATCGAATCGGATCAGATCACATATAATTCGATTCGGTATTGGTCCTATGGATCATTTAGTATGAGGAAAAAATGAACAGAATTACAGAAATTGAATTCGACCGAAACGAATCGAATCAAATAACCAAACATGCTTTTGGTACAGTTGGTGTACTCATTTCTTTTGTTTTTGGTCCATCCTAAATCAACTCGACCCAATTCTTAACTAAATTGACCAATGTAAAACCCTCAAAATTACAATAAAACAGGTATTTACTAGTTTGTACCTAGGTAAAAGAAAACTGCGGTATCGTTTTCATCGGTCCAACCGTCAAAGACACAGCGACGTGCCCAACTGGAGAAAAAACGCAAAGCCAGGCGATAGTTTATTAGCATTAAAAAACGAGGTGGTTAGTTCATCGGCCGCGCAGCTTTGTGAACTCCGCCGTTACCAGCCTTTATTTCCCAACGGTCTTCTCTAAGCTCTCCACCACTTCTTCCCCTAATAAACCCCTCCCAAAACGCCTCCTCCTTCTTGCCTCCATTCCCTCCGCCATATCCAGATCCTTCCAATTCCTTCTCCCCATTCAGTTTCAGACAACAAAAATGCAGGCCTCGCTCAGTCTCTCAGTATCTAACCCCGCCGCCATCCCCAGATCAGACCACGGTTTCGAGTCCTCCCTCCCTTTCCCGTCGAAGCCTGTGAATCTCAGGTTCTGCGGTCTCAGGAAGGAAGCCTTGGGGTTTTCTTCCACTTCTTCTTCTTCTCTTTCCGCCTCCCGGTCAAACAGGAACGTAGCTGGGTCGAAGAAGGTTTGGGCCTCCCTCGGCGGCGACAATGGCAGCAGCAGCAGCGCTGCCAAGTCGTTCGATTACGACTTGATCATCATTGGAGCTGGCGTTGGCGGCCACGGGGCTGCACTTCATGCTGTTGAGAAGGTAATGCGGTTAGTTTACTTGGGTTGATTTCGTTGACATTGCTGCTAGTTTGAGGGCAATTGAGAACTCGGGAAGTTTGAAGTAGGGTTGATTGGTTTCATTAAGCTTGAAGTTCTTGTGAAGTGGTCGAATTGCTCCATCTGAATTTCTGATTAGGGGATAAAATTATATATCTGGTCTTGCTTTTTTTTTTTTTTTCTGGCCAGGGTTTAAAAACTGCTATTGTTGAGGGGGATGTCGTCGGAGGAACTTGTGTAAACAGAGGTTGCGTCCCGTCGAAAGCTCTGCTGGCTGTTAGTGGCCGGATGCGCGAGCTTCAAAATGAGCACCATTTGAAAGCTTTGGGTCTCCAGGTAAATAGGCTTATGGTGTTTGTACGACTAGTTGTGCAGGAATTGATAATCCTGCATTTGCTTAAGTGTGCTTAAAGATGAATGAACCCAATTTGCAATCTGTGATGAGGAACCCATTTGGTGGAATCTTGTGGTAATAGGGTTGTCTCCACCTGTGATAGGTTTCAGCTGCTGGTTATGACAGACAAGGAGTTGCTGATCATGCCAATAATCTTGCTACGAAAATTCGCAGCAATTTGACAAATTCAATGAAGGCATTGGGTGTGGACATCTTGACTGGTTTTGGCGCAGTTTTGGTGAGTGGGCATTTTGTGCTATAGATGTGGTTGCATGTTTACCCTATTTCTAAACAAAGTCGTGATTTCCGTTGAAGACAAGTCATGCTCAGATATTCTTTCAGAAGGATTCTGTGCCTTGTTTATGTCTTGAAAGATTCTTGTTACTTGGTTCAGGGTCCACAAAAGGTGAAAGTTGGGAAAGACACTGTTGTGACTGCAAAGGACATCATCATTGCCACTGGTTCTGTCCCATTTGTGCCTAAGGGGATTGAAGTCGATGGTAATTTTTCTTAAGGTTTTCTGTTTATTCCATGTGGATATCAGAAGTTACCTTTTTGTAGCAGTTCAGACAAGGGCAGTTTTGGTATCATCAGTGCCTATAGAAAACGAAGATGATTGTTGTCCTAGCCATTTTCCCTGTTAACTCTCGAGTATATAAATGAGTGCATGGCTTGGAGATTATAACCTTTAGAAATAAGAAGTGATACTGTCCGGTTGCTTGATATGTTGACAAAGGGGTGCACATTCCACGCTCTCCTGTTTAATTACAATAATGCTCTCCTGTTTAATTACAATAATAAGTACCTACTAAGAATACACAGATAATTTACTCCGTGATAGAAGGAGTATTCTTGTAAAAGGCGCATCTCCAACCATACGATTCTTGAAATAGTGTGAATATTCTGTTCCTTGTTAGAATTGAGGGCCCCGCTAAAACTATCCAGTCTTCTGTTGTCCTTGTACTAGGAGGATCTCTTATATCTGGTAATGCCTGCAGGGAAGACAGTCATTACAAGTGATCACGCCCTCAAACTGGAGTCTGTACCTGACTGGATAGCTATTGTTGGAAGTGGTTACATTGGTCTTGAATTCAGTGATGTGTATACTGCACTTGGAAGTGAGGTACCGTTTTCTGTTTCCCCCCTGCTATTGAATTTCTCTTGCAGAAAGTGCTTTCTCATTTTGCGAAGCTGCATCTTAAAGCATCTTTGAATTGGGCGTGTTTTCAGGTGACATTCGTTGAAGCTCTGGACCAACTGATGCCTGGATTTGATCCTGAGATTGGGAAGTTGGCTCAAAGAGTCTTAATTAATCCTCGCAAAATTGACTACCACACTGGAGTATTCGCAACCAAGGTGAAAAGATGCGAATCTCCATGTTGTACAGTTTATTGTTGTGGTACATTTGCTTAAAAAGCACTACATCTGACTTGCCTTTTCTTGGCATAGATCACTCCTGCAAAAGATGGGAAACCAGTTACTATTGAGCTTATTGATGCCAAAACCAAGGAACCAAAAGAAACTCTCGAGGTATTTGAGCTATGCGCTCTGTTTGGAATACAAATCACGTGACTGCTTTCTCGTCTATTTGTTTTAATGATTTTTACATGCCATGCCGTTCCTGTAACTTTGACTTTGCATTTGCTACAGGTAGATGCTGCTCTGATTGCCACTGGAAGAGCACCTTTCACCAACGGTCTTGGCTTGGAGAATGTATGATTTGTCGTTAAAACTCCCAACTTCTTGATGATTTCTCTGATAAGCAGAGAAAAGAAGCCAGTACCCGAATATATTTTCTTATTCTTGACTCTCCTTACCATTGCAGATTAATGTTGCAACCCAACGTGGTTTTATTCCTGTTGATGAGCGTATGCGTGTCATTGATTCCAATGGGGACCGGGTAAGCTCAAAAACCTTTCTCGTGTTTTTTCAAGTGACGTAGGTCACTAACATCCTGACCGTTGATTTCTCAATGATGGTCGCCAGGTCCCTCACTTGTTTTGTATTGGTGATGCCAACGGTAAAATGATGCTTGCTCATGCAGCCAGTGCGCAAGGAATTTCAGGTTGGTAAACTAAACAGTGTGCCAACATCTCGATCTAAGCCTTCGGTCCTTACCAATTCCTTATTTGCTCTATCATCAGTGGTGGAGCAACTGACTGGAAGAGACCACGTGCTAAATCATTTAAGCATCCCGGCTGCTTGTTTCACCCATCCTGAGATCAGTATGGTTGGATTGACAGAGGTGTGTCTTGAAGACCTTGCATTGTGCTATATTGAATGTATCACCTTACATAGATGTAATGTTTGTTATCTAGTACTGAATTTTTAATTGGATTCTGATTCACAGCCTCAAGCAAGGGAAAAGGCTGAACTAGAGGGATTTGAAGTGGCCGTTGCCAAGACAAGCTTTAAGGCTAACACGAAGGCCTTGGCCGAAAATGAAGGGGAGGGTCTTGCTAAGGTTATATTCGCCGACTCCTCGTATACTTCAATTACCATTCTTCTGCAAATTTAAGATGATCAACAATTGTAAGATGGTCGTCCTTTTTGTATTGCAGTTGATATACAGACCTGACAACGGAGAGATTCTCGGCGTTCATATCTTTGGGCTGCATGCTGCAGATCTCATCCACGAAGCATCTAATGCTATAGCTTTAGGGACTCGCATCCAGGTTTGTCCTCTCTTTTTACGCATAAAACGGTATAGCGTTTGCTTCTGCACTTCCTCGTCTTCAAATGTGATTCAACCGAACATATCTCGATGCTTTTGCAGGACTTGAAATTAGCAGTTCACGCACATCCCACGCTTTCTGAAGTTCTCGATGAACTCTTCAAGTCAGCAAAGGTGAGCTTCTGATCTGGCCTATGTGCACGAGCACATCAGACAGACGTGTAACATTGCACGATGCTGAACTACCACCAACCCATATCCTGATCTGGTTTACATGAACTGGAATCATATCTTCTTGCTGCAATTATCTACAAACCATTTGTCCTAATATAGTGTTCGCCCACATTTTTTCGTACATTTTCTAAAGCTGGAGACCAGATCACCCTTCTTCAAGCAAGTGATGGACCTTTTTAATTTATGGGGCAGGTTAACGCACATGTTGGCAGCCCAGTAGCTGAACCAGTTGCAGTCTAAGCAAATCTCAATGCTTCGCCGAGATATCAAATGGCAAGTGTTGGAAAGAGTGTACCATGATAGGAAGTCATTGGCATGACACAAGTAATTCGCCGTCTTCTCCAATTCGTTCATTCCAACCATAGATACACTCGAGTTAATAATCATCCGGTTTTGTACTAATTTATGGTTTGAGATATTGGATACTTATAGGGCTCGAATGTATTGGGAGGCTTCATCTTATGGTTGTTGTCATTGTCTCATTGTGTATCCTGATTGTATACCAACATTTTCGTTGAGAGTAATATAAACAATTGAATCTCATCTTTCGTCAGTAGCCACCCGGACCTTGTGCACAGTCACTCTGCAAGTAATGTTCGTTGATCGATGTTTACCAGCAGGGGCGGAGCTAGGAATTAAAGTTTGGGGGGGCCGAAGTTCGTTAGTACATAACCGCAAAAATATATAATTTTTTTTATAAAGACATAACATTAGTTAAAATAATCAAAATAGAATTAATTTAAAGTATTCTAGTATGCTATGTTCAAAATAAATGATTATACTATGAAAAAATTATCATGCACTTTACCATGTAATTTTTTCAATATTATTATACCTTGCATATGAATTTATGATTATATTAGTGTTTATATGAATTATTATTTAATTACATATCCAAAACACATCCATGAAATATTAATGTAAAAGTTGAATAACTTGACTAACGTTATTTGAAATCATCAGAGTTATAAGACCAAGCAGGAAACTTGAAGAATTAAACTGAAAATAAAATAAATAAAAAAGTTAAAATAATAAAAAAGCTGCTGCCTACCAGGCTCGAACATGGTACCTCTTGGCTAATATTCAACTACAAATCCGATAGACTAGAAGAAGATTATGTTAATAATGTGTCACTCGGATTTTAAATATATTTATCGTTGATTTTATACGTAATTCTCGAAAGTTCCTAGGACTTTATACGTAAGTTTCGAAATTCTCGGGGGGGCCGGAGCCCCCCCGAGAGCCTACATAGCTCCGCCCCTGTTTACCAGTAGCCAACATGGTAATGTTATCAGGGATTTTATGAGCGAGATTGTAGAATGTAGATAGAACATCATGGTTTTAAATGCATATAATCCACGATCACATTCACATATCTTGGCTATAGTCCTGTCCATCGGAATCTCTCGGCAGGCTGCAAATTTTATTTACCACATAGACATAACAAGATGCACTTCAAAAGGTACAGCCTTGCTAGTCATTGGACAGAAGCCTGAAGGCTCGTGGTTTAGCTGTATTCAAGACATTAGTACTGCTGCATTACCAAGGAGGCAATGCTGCTCTTCAGTACGAGTCCCATGCACACACGATTCATCGCTTAAAATCTTGGTTTATGATACGAAAGGAAACAAATCGCACACTATTGGGTTTAATGTATCAGAGCTGAATACAATGCAGTCAAAAGCGCAATTCTACCTAGAAGCGAAAAATGGGTAAAATCGTAAACCGTATAATCAAAGCGTAAAAACGTAAATTTTTTACCCATACTGTAAAATAACGAAAAATGTGTTAAGTACAACATATACTAGGTAAAATATGAGTGCACATAGTTTAGATAAGTTAATAAATACCTGTAATTCACGTCAAACTCATAACATTTTAAGAATAAGTTCATAAACATATATCTTAACCATACGCTACCTTCCCCTCTAAGCTAGTGATTTTGGAAAGCACCTAGTTGGTGAATTAGATTACTCTGTTGAAACTAAGAATGCATCGAAGTACTTGATATGTATCTTGTAATCTTAAATATATTATTTTTTGTGATTTACCTGTAAAATATAAGTATTTTCATGAATAGAATACTCCTTTAGTGAACTAGAAGCGTAAAAGCGTAAAGCGTTTTGGTGAACCAGAAGCGTAAAAGCGTAAGCTTTTAAGATTTAAAGTGCATTTTAGTCCCGATTTTATACACTTAAGATTTTATATGAAACGAAAGCGTTTTAGTGTTCTAGAAGCATAAAACCATAAATTTTTAAGTTTTAAAGCGCGATTTTGACTGCATCGCAAGGGACAACAAGAAGCAACGAAATGGAAGGCAACAACGCTTACATCCTGACAGAAGCACCAGCCAAGTAAAGCTTGATTCTGGAAACCAGCTTCATTCTATGCAAAGACATAGAATACCACGAAACAGCTATCACCTATCTCAACAGCAAACCACGATCTACCAATCTACAGACTAAGAGAAAACCATGACAAAAAATGAGGTCATGGCCTTCTTTCTGGACAGCTTCAGCCTTGTAAGTTGTAACTACCATCGAAGGAAAACCAACAAGATCAGCACATAGTCCATACAGCACAACACTTTGAGACAGAACAGAAGGAACCCCTACAAACCTATTGAAAACCCTCCACATTCTTCACAAACAATGGAGCACCACAATTAGGAAGAGAGCACCACAATTAAGTAGCCCATTGGGAACCCATAGACACAATCACAGCGATGAACTACTCAGCAAAATCCAATTAAAAACCAAGCAGCAATGGAATTTCAATGTCGATTGCCAGATTCCAGCAAAACAACACCAGAAACAGATAGAATGCCTTTCAAAAACCCATTAAGCTCAATAAACCGAGTCTGACATGAACTAGTATTTCAAAGGAATACTTCACCATTCAGAGTACCATTTTCAACTCATCCAACTATCAAAATACGTAAAACTAAATCCAGTACAAACTCTACGGATCCAGCAACTAAACGAAAATGAAAGCTCCAGTCATTCAAAGGAAATTGAAGTTTACTCTTCCGCGCTGCCTTCCTCTGCGCTCTTGTTGTTATGCTTCTTCGCGTACCTCTGGTTCCTCAGAAACTTCGGGTCCATCTGAAACCAGACCGCAATAGAAAAATCAACCATTGAAAAAAACCAGAAGCACACAAACGAATCGATCGATAGAGAACCAGAAGTTAGCTTACCCCTTTGGTTGAAGTGTGACGATGCCTCTTCGGCTTCTTGATGCCGTTCCTGTGAGCCTTGTAGGACTGGTTGTGGGCGGTGTGATTCTTCGACTTGGCCATCTCTACAACGATCAACACAGAATAAGATAGCAGGAATGAAAACACAGCAAAGCTTTAATGGCGGGACCGACCCTAAATCTAGACAGAGAAAGAAGACTGAAACGAACCTCAGCGAGCAGGAGTGAGAATGCGGCTGCGTCGAGGAATTCAGGAAGAGTTGGCTCCACGGAGTTTCTGAACTGAAACCCTAAATCTCGAGGGTCTTATATTTCTTTCTGCGCGAGCATGGGCCTTGGCCTAAATTGGGCTTGAAGGTTCTGTAGTGGGCTGAGCTGTTTGCAGAACGAAGAGTACAGCCTTGATTTTATGTACTTACGTGATTGGACCTAGGGCTGGGCATGCGAGCGGGTCACCCACGGGTTTGGCTGATCCGCCCGCATTTGACCCAAATTTTGTTATTTGGGTGGGTGATGTGTTGAGCCGTGAGGCATTTACGGGTGGGGAGTGGATTGTGGACGGGTGCACGGGGTGACCCGCTCAACCAAACACAAAAAATAATAAAGTCATTTGCTTTGGAGAGTGGAGAGTGGAGACGCTGACGGAAACCAGAGCTATTCCTGAAGATTGAATCTCAAAATCAATCTTCCAAATCTCGACTCTCCTCTTTTTCTCTTTATTTTTATCTCTTATTCTTGTGCCTGAACACCTCTTTTTCCTCCATTGAAATATTTTTCTTAGTTTCCTGCACCCGATAATCATCTTCATCCGTAGAAAACTCCTCCATAATAGAATTTTTTACAATTTCAGAACTAATTCGACATTTTTTCTTCCTATTACATCTTCTTGTTTATGTCTGATAACTCTCCACCAATTATCTTGCCACTTGAAGTTAAACTCAAATTTGGAGGGTGAATGGTTGAAATGGATTTTTATTTTTCATATTGACATTACACAGGGGCTTCTGAAAAATATAGATGGATTATGTCAAGTTGACTCCTTTATATTATATACATTGTGATGTGGGTGAACCCACAAATCCACATGCATCATCTGCCATCTACTCGACTCAACCCGAGACTAAACGTGGGTGGATGGTGGGTTCAAAATTTGTCAATCCTTTTAAGCTCGAGTAGATGCATTTTATGATCAAAATCCATCCAACCCACCCAGTGCCTACCCCTAATTGGACCTATTGTTCTAGGTTGCAAAAGGTAGCCTATATTCTCTTCTTGGGCAACTAAATGGCTCCTTATGTTTTGAAGTTAATTCTTTAGTGAGAAGTGAGAACATACATATTGGTTAATCTTTTACTACATTGCAAGGATTGCAATATCATATCGAAGGTTGTATAAAAAAAACTCAGCATATGATATTTTAAACTGAAATTGTGGTTCAACCATCTCATACCGCCAAATACCGCCTACTGATCTTGCTTCTGGCAGTATATTTTTGTGGTCGAACCGCTAGTAAAGTACAATTTTTCAATCATTGCTACATTGTGAGCACTTATTGTGCCAACGTGATAACTGATGTAACACTCTAACCTAAACGTATTACCTAATCATATTGGTCATACATTCGCAGCGAAAATAATCTCGGGTGTTACATTAATTCCCAAAATTATGCAAATTAAAATTTCGACATGAATTACTCTAGTAATAGGCTAACAGTTCTTGCAACTAATCCTGCAAAATAATTTATGTGAATCTCTGCATTCATAGACATACATATATACTCACAACCATATAGATTGGTTTTTTTTTTGGGTAGAAAGACGGACGCAAAGGCGTCCTAACTATCATTGCAAATAAAGCGAGGTTGGGCAACGCCCATAACATCATAGTTGATCCATTTGGTCAGACCAGGATCGCTCACATCGAACATATGTGTGCCAAAATCAACACTATGGCCCTTACTAGCAAGGTAATCGGCCGCAAAATTACATTCTCTATAAACATGAGAGATGCGCACTCTCCAATTTCGATCCAAAAGAACTCTGACTTGTTGTGCAAGTAGGCCATGTCTGTGGCTGTCGTCCTTGCAATTTTTCATCACAGCAATCGCAGTAGTTGAGTCAATCTTGAGCTCAACCTTTCTAAATCCTCTATCCCAAGCCAAACGTAAGCCCTCAGCCGCTCCTTTGAGTTCAGCCGCCGTGATTGAACAGTGGCCAAGGTTGCACACGTAGGCTGCACGGCATCTACCCATGCTATCGCGGATTAGCCCTCCTGCAGCAGCTCCTCCTGAGGGCGAGAGGACAGAACCGTCAGCTTGAATCTGTACCCATCCCTCAGGGGGAGGCTTCCATGCCAGATCAATCTCCACCCTTTGTTCCTCTGGTGGGTTGAAACACTTGTTAGCATTCAGTTGAGCCTGATGGAAGATGAAAAACCAGGCTTCAATTTTGCAGGCCAGTTTCGCTTCAGAGAAGCTCGCTCCATCCATGCATTCTTCGTTCCGTTGCTTCCAAATTTGCCAGCAAATCAGACCAAACTCCACTCCTCTTTTATCATCACAAAGGTTATTGATAAGCCACGGATGGAAGGGAGTGTCGAATCTGCTTTCAGTCAGGTAGGGTCTGAAGTTGACCCAAGTTCTTTCCACTTTCTTGCAGCCACGAAGAATGTGCTCAACTGATTCTTCCTGATCCGGACAGTGGCTGCAGTTTCCGTTGTCGGTAAGCTTCCTGTTCTTCCTTTCCTTGTTCGTGAGTAATCTGTCATGGAAAGCAAGACAGAGAAAGTGTTTTGCTCTTGCAGACCCCTTCCATTTCCAGAGTTTCTCCCAAAGAGGATCCATTGTCGAGTCAAGTTGGTCGGATGCAAGCTTGTACGCTGAGCTAAGTCTGAATCTGCCATCGCGCTCGATCCCCCAAATCATCTTGTCCTCTCCCAGCTCATGTTTGGGGGTCTCCATACCTGCGATAAGAGCAAGCAAACAAGGAGGAAGAAGGCCATTCAATCTCGTCCAATCCCACTCCCCTTCATTCGTGACCCAGCTTGCAACATCAGAGGCTCTATCAGTTTCAGGAATGTCTTTCAGCAGGGAGTCCTCAAGAATGACTCCATAGTCGATCCACGGGTGGCGCCAGAAGCTTGTAGTGGTCCCATCTCTGACGCTCCAGCTTGCAGCACTTTGCATCAGAGGCATCGCTTTCCTGATTGCTCTCCATAGGTTGGATGGATTGCTTGTCTTCATTGATGTGATCATACCATCCTTGGATTTGAAGTACTTCCCTTGCAATACCTGTACCCAAAGGTCAGACTCGTTATTAAGCAGTTTCCAGCCGAGTTTAATCATGTAGGCAGTGTTCAAATTCCTAGCAAAACGTAATCCCAGCCCCCCCTGACTCTTCGGTTTGCAGAGGGTTTCCCAGGAAACAAGATGGACTTTCTTTTTCCCCTCCTGAGAACCCCAAACAAAGCTACGAATTTTCCTATCAATGGCTTCGCAAACAGAAACAGGGAGAAAGGTGGCTTGCATGACATAGTTAGGCAGAGCATTCAAAACTGAAAGAGCTAATGTCACCAACTTATAGATTGGTTTTTCATCGTCATAGCCACAATTTTATGCTCTGCAATTGCATACCATACATATACATGTCATAATCGGCACTACAACACAACCACACTCATACACACATATAGTCAACATTCTACACCTGTGGATATCTCACGCTACATCAGAAACTAGTATGCACATGAAAAACTTTCTCAAAACATTTTTACAAAAAGGTGTGGATCACTGGCCAAAATCCCAAGTAGTCATCCAAGCACATAATAGTTGAGGACCATACCTCATTTTACCTTCAACTCTAGCTTAGCTCCCACCTAAACACCTATCTACTGTTGTTGCTAATGATCTACTTACACATGGTATAAGTAGGGGGAAATGATAAAAGAGGGTTAACTCATAGTTGAGTGAGACAATCATTGTATCGTAGTTCATAACAAAGCATACCCCTATCATACATCTAGCAATCAAGCCAAAACACTAGCGACAGACCTCAACCATCCAACATCCCAATAGACAAAAGACTCAACCACTTTGACTTATGCATATGCGTCTTATCATGTTTTACTTGTAGGCGTCTGGCTACTCTCATGCTAATTACTCTAACGGGAAAACAAACCAAACATCTCGTGGATGTGGTCATATCGGACCCACCACTATCGGTGTAGTCATATTGGACCTGACACCACTCTTGGTGTGGTCATACACGACACCACACTGGGTGTATACATATCTCATGAAAAATCATCGGTCAACACCACATAAGGGGTGTGACATAACCTATCACACAGAGTAATAGCATGGGGAGCCTAATTAATATGTAATTGACCATGAGACCAAATCACTCTTGTTTGGTAACCTTATACATGATCCATAACTCACCTTGCTTAATATTAGTTCGTTACTTGAACATGTACTTAACTTGGCCATAATTGGCTCAACAAAGGTAAATCATGAGTCGTATTATTGCACTTCCTCGGGATAAACCCTCGTGCAAAGTCATCCTCCTTAAACATCATAGTATCATTTGGGGAAGTATATTTTCCCATTTGTGAATCCAAATACAACAATCATGTGAACTTATATTCAAGTACCTTCTCAAACCATCATAAGACATATCAACAGTTAAGCCCACAAATGGCAACTTATATGCAATTATCAACATAAACATGGTCCATAACGATTAAAACAAGACAAAAATATGTTATAGAAGTCTAGGGTTCATCATATAGGTTATAGCACAAAAGTCCATACACCCCCTAATCATGCAATTCTAGTTCACCTAGGTCATTTCTAAGCATAAATATAATCATTGTGATATAAAAAACTCGGTATGTCGTTCTAATCCCTCACAAATTATGGTAGTTCAAGTACGGTTTCTGCCTCTTTTACTAGAACTTGGATTTTCACAAATGATCCCGAAATCAAAATTTGAAATCGTCCTAGTATCTCCTGCAGTGTCCCCGTCAATGTTAGTTCTAGGCTCTAAGTTGAATTTCCAATAGAAACACATGATACATTAGCCGGAGCAGAAATTAGCGGTTCCGACTTTGTTCAGATAATTTCCGAAATTCATAAGTTAAAACTATAAAATTTATTACCTCGACGCAGATAGCTTGTATATGAAATTTTGGTTTAATCTGACTTTCGAATCTGCCAAAATCCTAACTTCTTTGAGGAGTCGTTCAAGAAATTCATGAACCAAACTTCGGTATAAGCCTTCATATCGATCAACTATGTGATAATGAGGGACTTTCCTTGTGCTTCCCTGATTTTACACTAGTTGAAATCCTCTTTTAAAGACTTGATATCAAATCAAGCCTTAATTTTTTATTATTATTAAACTTATTTTTTTACAAAATAATAATAATAATTTGAATATTTTTAAAAGTTTTGGGTACCAAAACGTAATTATAAGATTGAAAATCAAAGTGTCAAAGGTTACCATCCCACCCACCTACCCAACTTTTGGTAGTTGGGCCGACTAGTGATTGACCACAATCAAAATAATAATAGATATCATCCAAAATTTATATATACAAATACTTTCTCAACCACTAATGCAATGCAAATGTAACATATTAATGAAATAAAATAAGGTTTTCTACTTAATAAATATTTAAATTATTATTTGTTAATAAATATTTCCTATTAGGGCGGAAAAATAGACAAGATCTTTTGAAAAATTGTGGATCAAATCGGACAAAACAGTTTGATCCGGACCAGACCGTCTAGAATGATCTGGTCCGATCCATGGTCTGTATTATATAATGTTTTGATTTCTTGGTCTGGTATGGCTAGATCTCGATTTACCGGACCAAACCGTGAACCCAACTCACTTCTCAATACATGTTAGCAGCCCACTTGACCACTCTCCCAGGGAAACCTAAGTCTCAACTCTAATTTTGAGAATCTCTTCCTCCGCTTCATCACAACCACATTTCACCAGGTAATAGAGATGGTGGTGTCTCCCTATAACATTATGCTAATGTTTATGATGTTACGAATTTACGGTGCAAGTTGGGATGTTTTGATTTTGTATCTTTGTTATTTACTGAGATTTCAGGTATGAAAATTATTCATGCATGTTAGAGTTTACGTTTTAAGGTAAAAAATAAATTTGTTCTCGGTATCGGTTTAATTTTTCATATAGTTGACTAAAATATTGTTCATCTGGATCATACCATACAACCGTGATATGAAGTTCTGGACCATATAGTATGTGGTATGTTCTGTGATCTATATTTCAACTTGTCGATCTAGACCATAAATCATCTATACGATCTTATCTAAACCAAACTGCACAATTTCCCAACTCGATTTCCAATCCATTAATTGTTGTCCTCTCAAGTCATGCCAAAGAAAAAAACGAAAATAAAAAAATTTAGGGTCGTTTGGTTTTGGTGATTGTTTGGTTGAGATAGTTATAATCCATGCATTGCCCACAATGCATCGTGTTTTTTAATTTTCTGCACAAACAATACATGCATTGTCTACTTGATTTGACACAAACTATCACTCAAAATGAGTGATAGTTAAATCTCATTCAAAATGCAAAATGAGTGATAGTTAAATCTCAAGTTTTTGGTAGATTGTTGTGCTTTATTTTCTTCCAACTATGTCCCTACATTTTTATGTGTGTTGTTTTTTATATTAAAAACAAAGGATAAAAGTGACATTTCACCCAAAAAGTAATATAAATTATTTAAATAACACAATAACTATCACAAAAGCAAACGATGTAAACTACAATACACCAATTTTCGTATATACATGTATATTATTATGCATACATTGATGATAATTCATTTATTTAACTATCACCAAAACGAAACCAACCCATAATTCCATTTTTTTTTCAACCCACCGTCATTGTCCCTCACTCCCTCTAGCTAGCAAAGCCAATTTTGAGATCCCAAACTTGTATACTGTCTTTTTTTTCTATAATTTAAACTTGTAAATTGTCAGTGGTAGTATAAATACATCACTTCTCTCTCCCACATCTCCATTTGGATCCATTTCTTTGGGGTTGTTCTCTCTCTCTACTCGAGAGCCTCGCAATCCCCCCATTCCTTCCACAACTCCGTTGGATCAGCAGCCAGCTAGAGTAACAACCAATTCGTCAGCGCCGGCCGATATGTTTCTATTCGACTGGTTCTATGGAGTTCTCGCATCTCTTGGGTTATGGCAGAAAGAGGCCAAGATCCTCTTCTTGGGCCTCGATAACGCCGGCAAGACCACTCTCCTTCACATGTTGAAAGACGAGGTTCGCTTCTACTTCTTCCCTTCGATTTCAGTTTTTCTCTTTTCTGGGTCCGATCGATTTTGATGGAATCTTTGATTTAATCTGTGGTGGGTTTTTTTTTGGCGGGGGATCTGGTTTCTTTTTTGCTCGGCGCTTTATCGCAGAGACTAGTCCAGCATCAGCCGACCCAGCACCCTACATCGGAGGAGTTGAGTATTGGGAAGATCAAGTTCAAGGCTTTCGATTTGGGTGGCCATCAGATCGCTCGCCGCATCTGGAAAGACTATTACACCAAGGTTCGTAGCTTTACGTTATTCTTTTGTCTCTGTTGTGTGAAATTGGAATTTGGATGCTTTCATCGGCTTGTGGTCGCGAGTGCACGCGATCTGTTTGATTGATTGTCCCTGTGAGTACTGTCCTCCTAGTTTTGTCGCTTTATTTTTTGCTGATTGGAAGCTGTGAAATTGAGCTTAGTGGCTTTGCCTGCTTTTGTTGGTTGATCGATGCATTCTAGTGGTAGGAATGATGTATAAATTTTTGGGGATCTCGGCATGTTCTTCAAGTGGGATGCTGTTGAGATTCAGTGTAGAGTGGAGTATTATATACTGTTACTGAGGATGCTGTTGACTCTCTATCCTGTTTATCGTTGTCTTGCTAGGGTTATTATACAGGCTATATTGTTATGTGGTCTTAATTGGATGAATGTAATCGCTTGATAGTCTGAATGGCCTCCATTAATCCCAGATGACCTCATTTTGTGTTCTTCTGATTCACGAGAGGCCGATACCGAACATGGATTTTTCCGCTGATGGCACCTCTTTATACTTTCTGGGAGGTTGTTCTAATAGTAGATTTCCATACATTTCATTTGTTCTGAAACTTGAGATTAATCTGTTCCTCTTTGTTCTTTTCATCCAACTGGTATGAAACTTGTTAGGAGGTATATAGCTGTTCTGGATGCTGTGTTTGAGGTGTTAAGTTGTTCTGTATGCTGTGTTTGAAGTATATAGTTGTTCTGTATGCTTCTCGAGTTCTGCTATTTCACTATCTTGCATTGACGCCATATCTAGAAAGAGCTAAAACAGGAACTAAAGCCCATCTTCTTTGCATGAACAGGTGGATGCAGTTGTCTACCTTGTGGATGCCTATGACAAGGAAAGGTTTGCCGAGTCCAAGAAAGAGTTGGACGCACTCCTATCGGACGAAGCACTGGCCAACGTTCCGTTTCTCATTCTAGGAAACAAGATTGACATCCCCTATGCGTCTTCAGAAGAAGAGCTTCGATACCATCTAGGGCTAACCAGTTTCACAACTGGCAAGGGGAAGGTCAACCTCATGGACTCCAATGTCCGGCCTCTTGAGGTCTTCATGTGCAGCATCGTCCGCAAGATGGGTTATGGGGATGGCTTCAAGTGGCTCTCTCAGTACATCAAGTAAAGAGAGGGAGAGAGATGAAGCAGCAGATATAATAGATGGGTTCTTCCTTCATGTTCTTTTCTTTCTCTTTGCCCCTTTTTTTCTGGGTTTTTCTTCGTGACATTTTTGCAGTTATTTGGCACAATTAGATTGGAAGAATGGAATTCTTTGTTGTTGTTATGGGTAGAACTGAATTGGTTGGTTGCAGGATTAAGCAAAACTTGGCAGTATAAACCATCCTCTATTGCTATATAGCTCACTGTTGCAGGTCAATCGCTGAAACTTGCTGGACAAGAAAGCTGATGCTATGTGTTGTGACACCAAAATGTATCGACCTGTTCTTGTTCAAATCACATTTGACACATGCTTTGAGGCAGTTGGAAAGTGGGAACTGTATGTAATCTTATAGGACAAGCTCAGGTGAAGAGATAATTTGGGGTGACAAGGGGAAAACAAGTGCTCCATCGTCTCTTGGGTAGAGTTCCGTTTGTTTTTGGTGAGCAATAGGAAGAGGAAGAGGCACCATCAATGAGATACAATAGATCAGTTGTGTCTTCAAGAAATCTTTCGTCGCGAGACACCAACAATCTTTGCATTTGCGACAATCTTTGCATTTACGTTAGCAAATGATTCAAGCGGTTGATACCGATAATCCGCAATCTTCACACCTCATGTTCATCTATCTGAAACAAGCATATTGGGAGATTGGGACGTATTTGTTCTAGCCATCCATACATATTACATAGTCGAGATGCATCATCACATCGTTGCCACTATAAAATCCATTCACTCATTTCAGTAGTACACGAGGAGACTATTGAGAAGTTAGGTTGTAGCTTCTTCCTCTTTTTATAAAATGGAATTACGATAAGCGTCCTTGTTTGCATGAAACCTAATCAACCCCCTAAATCATCATCACCATCACAGTGGCAACAGTAATAGTCACTCTAAACCACAGGGGACCTTTTCAATACCTGAAAAACACTATGAAAAGGCAACAACTACGCACCTAAAGGTTAACCCTCTAACTTAATGCACAGAAAAGTCATTAGGCAGATCATGTACAGGCTACCAAACACTGCCTTAGCTCGAGAAATACCTTGCCAAGATTATCAGTTCTTTGTCGTTCAGTTCTCTGCTGCTGTTGTCCTTTTTTTCATTTATCCATCTCATTGTCGCAAGAGAGAAGACTGTCATACTCCGCCTGCAACCCAGAAACAGGGAGAACACTTTCAGTTTTTTTTCTTATACGAAATCATAAGGACAGCACAAAAGAATGTAAGCTATCAAAGTGACGCACCGAAGCTTCATTGTAGGCTAGTTTCATCCTTCGGTACTCAGCTTGCGCTTTCTTGGAACGAAACATGGCTTGAACAGTTACAACAGCTCTTTCCACACGCTCCTCGGCTTGTTTACGACCGGCTACGAAGAATTCCTCCTCTGCATCACTTGGCTGTCCGTCTTCTACGATTGATTCAACTGGTTCGACTTTAAGTCCACGGAAGCCTTTTCGCTTCAGACGCCACCTTAAGATTACCTTCTCGAGCACTCCAACTGACCACAGGATCTTCCTGTACTGTCTCCTGACTTGGAACCCGCGGAATGCAGCCTGCAGTCGCAGAAAGTTTTTATTAAAAAAAAATCTCATGGGACAAGATTCTTATTTTGAAAAGGAAAGGGCAAAGCTAAAGATAAAGCTCTCTGTATGATGTGATTTTTTTTATCTATAAATAGTTCACGGGGGTCTATGTTTCGCTTAAATATTTTATGTACCTTGAGATTTTGAAGATATAAACAAACGTAGCCTGTAAGGCCAACAAGGATCTTGAATTATAGAAGCTTACTTGAATTCTGATGACCTGACGCCGCATATTGAGAAACTCCTTTCGTATTTTCCATGTGCGGAACCTGTACTGGATGCGAACAGCAGCAGCCATCTTTTTCTTGGTCTCATAGTTGCGAAAAGCATGTTGAATCTTCATTGCAGCAATTATGCTCCGAGCTTCAGCCTCTGCACTCGAACTCTCCACTGCTTCGGTGCGCAACTTCAGTGACTGCTCTCTGAATGCTGCCTGTAT